GCCCAAACTGATGTTCCACATACAGCTAGCCAAGTCTCAGGATTACTCAAAGACCCCAACTGGGTTTTTGCAGCTGCTGGGCATCGAGATGGAAGCACCATGGCAGCAGGGGATCCCTGCACCTCTACCTCAACTGCTTCTCCTTCCACACGAAAACCATTCTGTATTTACCATCAAACCACCCCTGCGACATCTTCAGCAATTGGGGAAGTCACTGATTACTGAATTTTATCAGTTTTGTAATATTTAACTGAAACAGGACTTAAAGGAACGCTGCTTCAGCAAATCCCAACACTGGCAGCAAACACTGGGATTTTATTTCTTACCCTCTTCTGCTTTTGCACGCTTGCTAAAACTCAGGGTAATAAAACTTTTTTTCCACTTCTGGTGTGATGAAAAATGTATTTTTTCCACAGAATTGTTAAATTTAACTACTGGGATGTGCCTGCTACACTCTTCTGTATCCTCTGTCAAGCAGCTTAACACCACAAGGAGAAAGCTGCAGCTGTGACCACACAAATGGACCAAGATATCAAATCAAATGCACTCTTCCCCTTTATATTAGGAAATATAGAGAGGCAAACAGCAGTGAAAGCAGCATCTGAAGCCATGACCTGGCAGCAGCAGAGTTCAAACGCTGCTGTGCAATGCGGAAGACGCAGTTTAGCAAAGGTGAGGAGCAGGGAGGAAAGAACCACTCACACGTCCCATCCGTACCAAGCAAACAAGACCACAGCAGGGAAGAAGGGAGAAAACAGAGTCTTTAAGTTTTGGCAAAAACCCCCACCCCAAGCTGCACAGTTAAATAGCTGATCGCATTATAACCAACCTCAGGTGCTCTCAGCCTCTTGTGATGTTGCAAAATGAAGACATGAAGTTAATAACTGCTCCCTTGCAATATTTGTTTTTTTGTTGTATTCAGAATTAAAGTTTTAGAAACAGGTTAGTTAGCAATTTTAAAATGCTAGATACCCTAAAAGCTTGGCGCTCTAATCAAGAATAAGCTCTTCTTTACCTAAAAGCTGGTATGGCTACAGTGTTTAGTTTATAGATCCTTTCATTTTTGCTCCGGGCACCTCCTTTCTGTGTTTTAGCCCTGAAGTAAGAGTATCCAAATACTTATTTTTTTGTAAAACCCTTGGGGAGTCCATCCTCTCCCCCCCTCATGTTGTCACATCAAAATCCTCCTGCGCTTTGTATTAGGACACAGCAGGAGCCACAGTCCAGCAGTGGCACCATCCCACTCTGCTCATAGCACTTGTGTTACATCCAGCAAGGGGGAACGGCCCCAAATCCTCGGAAATAACAGGCAAATCTGTTCTTCTCAAAATCAAAAATGCCGGAAGTAAATCAATATGAATGCCATTTACTTGTTTTTGAATGAGAAACCTGTCTTACAGAAGTAGCTGGGAGAAAAATAAGCATTTTTGTGTTAGCAGCAGATTAAGATGACACTGCAGAAAATATTCGGCATATTCCTCATTACTCCACGCTCTAGAGCGGCTCCCGCAAATGAACTGTGGCAGAACTGTGGCAATATGGGGCTAGCAAATATTCAGAGGTCTTCCCCATCCCCCCTCCACCCCCCTGATAATTTTTAAATGATCACCATTAAAACACCCTAAAAATAGGAAGCGCAGCAATGCACCAACTATTCTTGCAGAATACATCTCCATGTATCTGGCCAGCTCCTCAACTTTTACACCATGTTCGAACTGTACTGGCACTAACAGAACAAGCACAAGAGATATTTTAATGAAATGAACTTTGATCAAGGCCTCCTGCAAGTGCACACGTGTCACAGCTGCAGAGAGGAATGCAGAACCACACAATGCCATTAAAAATGCCTCCAGAGTAATTTTTGCAAGTATTGGGACATCTTTTCAAAGGTGGAAAGGGAAGGTGTAAAATTCATCTCCCACTGTTTTACAACAGAAAATAGGTTTCTCCTTGCTCCTTGTGCCTGGGAAAATCTCACTATCCAAACCATATGTTGAGAGCTTAGCTTCTTGGTATTGTTACTACGCTGCATTAAAAAGAAGATTTAAAACCTCCAAAAGAAGACCTTGCAGTCTCAGTTGTTGAATGCTTGCTGCTGTCCTGGTGGCAATAAGCAAGCAAGGGTACCACTAGTTACTCAGCTTCTCATGACTATTTTCCCAGCTTCAGAGTTAAGGCAGAGTAACATCGCCAGCAGTTCCCAGAGCAGACAACAGCCCTTGATTTCAGATTCCACTAATACTTCTGTCCTCAGTCATTTTATTTGCTTAGTGTCAACAAAAAAAGAGGCCCTGGTATTTTTTTTTGGTATTCTAATGTTACCAGAAAACCAACAATACTCCTGCAGCACCATACCATGACAGCATGGGAGCATTATTTAATTTATAGGGTGGAGGATGAGGCTTTTGTATTCTGCAGTGCATTGCTTGAACAATGAGAAGGAAAGCACTCTAGGTCCGGGGCCCTACTCCAGCACCTTCTCCTTTCAGGTTTAATCACAGGGTGCAAACCTCTCACTGGATGCAGGGCTGTTGCTGGTGGAGGTTTAGTTATTCTGCAGCGTCTCACGCAAGAGAGAAGCCGTCGCATCTCGACTGAACTCTGCCATTGCAAACAGCTGATCAATGAGAGAGAAATGCTGGGTAGAGCGGTCTACAAAATTGGGAGAAAGAAGTGAAAGGAAGAAAGGTTTAAACAACTTTGAGACACTAATATAACACTAGAAGGCATGTAAACAATTCTGGACACATTAACTCCTCTACTGTAAGAAAAGAAATACTGACACATGCTTAACTGAAACGAAAACCCTAAAAATGGTTTCAAGAATACATTCTTTGGATACAAGAGGTATTTGTAGAGTTATACTACCTGGAAGTTGGAAGTGCAACCCACTACAGAGAGGGAGGCAGAAGGGGACGAGTTTTAATCTACAGAGAAGGAAGGCTGCTGTAAAACTGTGCACTAATAAAAACTTTATATTGTTGCTTGTCAGGAATAGCCCCCAAACAGGCTACAGCATCTGTGGCAGAAGGGTATGGGGATGAGTAGCCCCTATTTTTTTTTTGTGTGCTGGCAGGTTGGGCAAGTAAGATTAATTTTAAATAGCTTTGCTATCAAACGCAATTTAGACACGCATAAACAGTAGCTTTTGTGAGAACAGTGTGCAGAGTCTTGCTTAACTAACCAAGATCCAGAAATCTCACAGATTTGCATTTGACAAAGGCTTCAAGGGCTCCATGTTGACTGTGGAGTGTAGATGGATCTCAAATAGCTGAACAGGAACTTCACAATATATATATTTATTACTCAAACTCCAAAAATCACATAGGGAATAAAAAGAATTATCAATATATTCTGACTTTAGTTCAGATGGAAAGAAAGAATTAAAACCCACACCAATACACAGACAGCACGGCATTGCATGTCACCAGCTCTTCCCTGGCTAACAAACTTATTTTGGGCATAGAAATTCTTTCACTTTATTTGGTGTCGCACTGAGTTAGCTGAACTGGAATAGTTGAATAATTAGTATTATCCAAAGCGGGGCATCAAATGTAAGTGAAGGAGGTGATGGAAGCATGCAGAGGGCAAACTGGTATAGTCTAAGGCCCCCATCCCGCAGTTCCCTCTGTGCAAGCAGGTTTCTGTGTTCCTGCAGGTCCCCGGTCCCAGGGACCTGCACAGAGTCATCTGCAGTACTGGGAAATTATTGTGCTTCTCAGCTCACTAGAAAGGACATTTTTCCCTATTCCTGCTTTCAGTGGCATGGAGGGAGCATGCTGTTTTATTCCCTGCTGCAAAAGCACAGTGTGTGTGTGTGGGGAAATCCTGAAAAATATTGTGCAGCACCATTGGTTCAGTACAGAGGGAAGCTGGGATACTCAATTGCATTTGGTGGCTTCGGAAGTTTCACCAGCTTTGAAATAAATATTGCCTAGGTAACATCCTCACAGTGGTTGGTAGTTCAAACACCGTCTTATTACTCTTATTAAACCAAGTAACAATTCATCTCTCCTGATCCCTTCCACACAAGCACACAAAAACCCCCAAACAAAATAAAGCCAGGAATAAAATAAATAAATAAATAAAGGCATTCCCAAAACATTTATTTCGCCTGTCTCTCTCTCAAATCAGACCAGCTTAGAGATGCCAACTTCACCTACCTTCGCAAATTCAGCTAGGGTACGGAGTAACATGAAACTGCTTTAGACTCGTAAGACCTGAATTATAACACTCTCGTGGTCACTCGTCTGCTTCTGGAAACCTGTCCTGAGAGCTGGTGAAGTCCAAACCCTTATTCCATTCCCACATATCAGTAACTCATTAGCTATATGGAAAAGAAGTGTATCCAAAGCACACAATGGCACATTAAGGTTGAAGAAAGCATTGGTAAAGGAGAATAAAACTACAGCAGTTGTTCAGCCTAACTCTAACTAAATGTTGAGCCACTGCAGAACTCCTCCTCCAGCCCAACAGAAAGTCAAATTGTGTCACCCCCTTGCCAAGACATTCTTTTGTGGTATGTTACTGGCACTTTATGTCAGTCTCATATGGTAGATACATGCACATTTGTCTGTGTGTTTATATACAAAAGGTCTGATAACAGTAAAACATTGTTCAGAGAGATATAAAAAACCCAAGGAGTTGCATTAGCCAAAAAAAGTGTTTTGTGAGGAACAACAATAAAAATGATATAACCACAGCTTTTCTTTTCTTTAAAATTAGATAAATACCCAAAGCTATGATTTCACTTGGGGCCTCTGTACCTTGACAGGGAGTCCAATGCAGTATATCTGAAGGCACTTAATATCCTCTACTCAGCTGTAAGATGGTTGCACAGGGAGCTGGGGAGCTTGGGATGTGATTTGGGGCATGGAGGAGAGAGATGGATGAAAACAAGCCCTGAAGACCTGTGATCCACACAGCATCAGGCGCTGAAATGAAAACAAACGTACAACCCAGGTGTTGAGAAGGTCTCTCTTGAAAAAGAAAACTGCCAATTGCAAATGTCTTTGTGTTTCTATTAACAGAGCACTTCATGCAACTCTGACAGTGCATCATACACTCTTAGAGATATTTAGCTTTGTCAGTTCATTGACCTCCTCAGTTCCCGCTTCCTCACAGCCAGTCTTCTCTGTGGCTTTGCCAAACCTGCACCTCTCCTCTGCTCTCACTGCATCTTTCTGGAGCTTCTTGGTGGAAGGAAGGATGTCCTTGGTTTCTGAGTTATCTGTGCCATGGGCTATCTTATCAGAATTCTGTACAGAAGGCACCAGGTTGGCAATCTCATCCGTGGGAGATCGCCCAATGCTGCCATCCACTTGAACCCGAATGTCTGGAGATATAGACAACTGGTGATGTGGCACGATCCCATTGTCCATGCATTTTGGGTAAAGGTAGGTCTTCATCTGACCTTTCCCCTTCACATTGACTGTCCCCCTATAGTCAAAGTCATACCCCATCTTGTTTAGGATGCGGTAGCTCTCCTCACTCACCTGTATACGACACTCGACACCAGTGGTGTCCATTCTGCTAGCAATGTTCACAGTGTCACCCCAAATATCATACAACAACTTGGTGGTGCCAATGACCCCAGCAGTGAGGGGGCCGTGGTTAAAGCCAATCCTAAGTTTAAAATTAAACCACAGCATGTTGTTGTTGAAGTCATCCACCACTCGCATCATTTCTTTGGCAAATTCAAAAAGGGTCTGCAAATGCCCATGGGGATGGTTGTTGTCCTGACACTGCGAGGTGTTCAGTCCTGAAGCAGCCATGTAGGTTGCCCCAATTGTTTTGATTTTCTCAATGCTGCTGTAATGTGGTTTGCTTAGCAGCTCATCAAAATCCCCGATCAATTCATTCAGGACTCTGTAGCACTCTTTGCCACCTTCATAGTTCTCTTCATAGAACTCGCTGAAGTTCACAATACTTGCAAAGATTACTCCGCCGCTGTCATGGTTTTTGGAATAGCTCTGGGAAACCTTCAACTGCTCAGCTACGTGGTACGGAATAATATTCCTCAGCAACCAGTCAGCTTGATCCCTCATGCTCTGAATTTTGGTGCGATGAAGATCAGCCTCCACATCTCCGTGGTAGTGGAGGCGGTAACTGACCTCAAACTCTCGATTCAGAAACCAGACCAGGAGGAGCAGAAGGAAGGAAACCAAAATCACTTCCTGACCGATCAGGTCTGCTGGCCTCTTCGTGTCATTTGGCACCGAACTGTTGCACGGACTTTTTCTGGAGCTGGAAGCAGAAGAAAGAGAAGAACATGAAAGGTGCATTTAAAAACACAGAGTTAGTGCACTGCCATTTCTGCTCTGTAGTTAGAAATCCATTTCTAGAAAAAAGTGTAGGAAGTGTACATTACATACTAAATTATAAAATAGGCTTTGATAACTTTATCTGCTGTTAAGCATGCTAAAGAATTCATTTCATTCTTAAACTCACTGAGTATTTCCTTAAAGGGATATCATCAGGTTCAGCCACACAGAAACTGCCCAGCCTTTACGGTAGTCCTATTTTAAGGACTTCACCAAGGAAACAGTTATCGTTATATCTAAATATATAACTCAAAGCACTACATGTAAATATGTATATAAAAATGCTTAATAATGCCTCTGTGTGTGCTTAGATGTATGTGTGCACATGTATATCTGTATAGGAGGGGTGTGTGTGTGTAAGTTTTGTGGAATTTATCTTTTTTTGTATTACCTCCAATATTCAGAAACATCTGCTTTATATACTCCTAGTGCTTTTCCCTTGTCTCCTCATCAAAGACCAGTAACCTTTGCAGTGTGCCTTTAATGTTAACACATGAAGATTCTGGAAGAAGATAAACCTGTACAAAACACTTCATGGAGAACTGCACGTCTCCTGCATGAAAGCAGAGAATACAGAGCTCTGGGTTGACATCTTTTGACACTATAACCACTGAAGCTTTTCATGGTGGAGACAGAAAGTTTCCTAAGTGCCAAGATTCAAAAAAAAAAAAAAAAAAAAAAAGAGTCACATCTCACATAGATTAAGAGTAATATTTCAAATCCTTTTGACAATTCGTCAACTGCCTGTGCAGATTATGAAGCACTGATGGAGGATGCTTCCAGTGCCAAGCCACCACTAACAAGGAGACATCTGCAGTCTACAATCTCAACTTTCTGGAGAGAAGCAAAGACACCAATTCAGTCTGAGAAGACACCACCTATGCAATCCTAGGAACTAAGTCTAAACCCAGACAGATTGGCATGCAGTGATTTCTGGAGTCATTTAACTGCAATTTTTTCTACAAAATTACGCCAAAGCTTAAGATTTAATATGAGCAGACACATGTTGAAGTTTTTCAAGTTAAGAGATGGTTTGATGAGGGAAAGCGCATCACATCAACCTTTCTCCTTGAAAAACAGAAAGGCAATCCATATCTCAGTGTCTGTCTGTATTTCTCTTATGAAGGTATGTTAGCAAAAGAGATTAAAACTCAAAGCATAACTGTAGCAACGGCTCAAGAAGAGAAGACTATATTTGTTTCTGCATTTTTAAGTTCAATTTGTTTTCATGTCCATGGGGGACATGCTTCCACTTCTGAAATCAAAGCAGACATTTTAGCAATTGAGCTATATTATGGACCCCATTTCTTTTTCTAAATGTTCAGTCTCAAATATTTGATTGACAGAAAAGCATGATGAAGCAAAAACATAGCAGAGCTGTGAAACAGATGAATGTGCAAAATCTCTGAAAACATTTTTATGTGCTATGGTCTTTATTTGTATCTATTAGCTTTTATCATAGGAAGCCTATAGGAGAAAAAGTTTCCCATAAGTAAAATATTTACAAGAGAGAGCTTACAGGTTGAATTTCAGATTAAAGCTAAGACAGCATATTATGTTGGAAATCACTCCTTTTGTTTTCAACCATAAAAATATTTGTCTCAGGAGACGTGAAGGTATATTCATTTTATTGGTTTGATATTAAAAAAACACAAGGGAAGAATGAAAGGAGGAGATTACTCCCAACTCACAGAATAGGTCCCTACAATCAGGTTGCTGTAACTGCTGGTGCATTGCTGCTACTCCTTTCTCCCTTACAACTACTTTCCTCAACAGAACCTCTATTATGAACCTATTCCACTTTCTCCCTAGAAAGTCAAGCCAGAGACTAAAACAAAGGCTAAGTTATTAATAGCTAGAATGGTAACAATTCCTGAAATACAATCCTTGCTACCTGTTTTGCTGGTGGCAGAATATCCTCCTAGTTTGATGGGCTTATAAAACAAAACGAGGGAAGGGTAAGTAAGAGAAAAGATCTTTTCTCTTAATGCATCTGGAGAAGGCAAGGAATGAATCTCTGTTAAGGAGCACAATTCAGGTTCTTTTCAGAACAGTTTGTTATTTTCCGTTATCTTGTGGGAAGAGATCTGCTAGAGGATCTGAGCAATGGCATGTTACTCCTTTGAGAGTACGAGTTTGATCCAGATAATCTGCTCTAACATCAAACATCCCTACCACAGGGATTTATTTAAGTCATTAAAGGCTTTTTATTTACAGTTTATTGTACAAAATACTCCTCAAAGTACTTTAATTCCTCTTAAATGAATTAGGCAAGCACCACAAATTTTATGTTACAAAAAGGGGCTCGTGTTGAACACAGGATCCGCCTTTTAAGAAAAATCTGCGGCCTCCCATTCACCACTCCTGAAGTACTGGCGTTTGCAAGCTCTCAATCACCTCCTCAAGCACTGGCTTGACCTTGTTTCCCATGTGGGCGTACAACCTTAGAGATCTGCATGTGAAATGAATGACTCACTTGTAAGCTGACCTGATTTCATTAATAAGGTAATGGGTTAGTATCTCAAAAAAGATGGTGCAGTATCTTTTCCAGAGCAGGCATTTTTAATCATGATGCAACTGCTACAAGCATTAGTACAAAAAGCCACAATGCCAGCCTGAAGGAGGGAGCAATTACATCTTACTCGTTTGGAAATCAAATTTCTGGATGTTGCAGCAACCAGGTTACAGGACCTACAGGACTATAAATCATCCTGCACAGTCAGTTAGCAAAGATGACCTGAAGCTACCCTTTAGAATAAAAAGAAAAAAAACCCCACACACCTGTAACAGAAAGGATCACACACCCCCAAATCTTTTTAAGCTCTACTTTTTATGAGGTGTTGTAGCAGAAAACTAATTTTAAAAATCATTCAAACTGAAATCTTAAGCCAACAATGTTTCTTTAACTCAAACTGGTGAAGTGGTTCCTGGCACAGACACCTAACTATTAACTTGGCATCTTCATCCAGGCTCTGTGTTGAATATGGAACAAGTGAGAGCTCCGGAGATAGAATCTCCTTTGGCTTGAGCACAAATCATAAAGATAATGGCTTTCCACTTATAAAGATTTTTGGAAAGCCATTCTGCTTCTGAGCCAGTAACCTATGTTTGGATTTGGATATCTTGCTATATTTAAAGAGGATGCATGCCTGCTAAATCTTAAAACAGAATGCAACGGTGGAACAGCGCGGAAAGGGGAAATCTAACAGCTGCTTTCAATGAAGAACATATAGTGGATGCATCTAAGAAACGCCCCTACCATCAAGCGATTTTAGTCTTCTACCTCCAGTGACCTATCACTGTTCCTCCTTGAGCAGTGACAAACTGGAAAATGATACACCCTACCTGCTCTGAGATAAGAAATGAATGAAAATGAGAAATATTTCCTGCTTAAAAGACAAGGTTTATGGTGGTATCTCTTTTGGGCTGAAGAACTGGTCTGTCTGGAAAACAAGGCAAATTCCGTATTTTGATTTATTGAGCATAGCATGGACAGTCCAGAGATGAACTTTGTGCTAAGACTTCATTGCCATTACTAGTATCTCTCTTCCCATGCAACATTAATAATTATCTCAATTCTTGATCAAGAAAAGGGAATAACCTCATTAAAGGCATGCAAAACAAGTTAAGTTTGCTTGGCCCTCTTAGAACGCAGGAAAGGCTTTTGTGCTGACTGGGCTGAGCAAGGAACCTTTTTTATTTATTTCAGTGAAAAAGGAACAGCAAAATATTTGTCAGGATAAGGGAGTTTCAACTTTTTGTTAGTCCATCACCAGGAGAAAGGGGAAATTCTGTTTGCACAGAACTCTAGAACTGTGGTATTCAGTAATGCACATCAAAAGAGCCCTGAAAGGAGAAGCCAAATTCTGTTGCAAATTAATGGCAGAAACAGAATAGGATTAACTGTCTTTTAAATTCCAACACATAGAAGCCTTGGGTCAATTTGTATGTTCGGACAGCTTCAGATCAGTGGTGCCTGGACAGTTAACAGAGATCACGCTGAAATGATACAGTTCCTGCATTGAAACAAAGACAGTGACCAACTAACCTGACAAAACTGCTGCTGACATGCAGAAAGGGCAGCGCTATGTAGTACTAACACACACGACATACAGGCATTTTTTCCCCAGCTGAAGGAATGACAGTCAAAGCGCAAATCTAGTACATCTCATAATGAAAAGTTTAAAATGAAGTTTAGAATGTTTAATGAGCCAGACATTTTGGTGACTGCTTTATTCGGTATTTAAATCACAAGCTAGGATTTGCAAAGCAGGCAGAGTGCGCTCCACGCCTGTTTGCAATAACATCTTCCGCATGGTTTGGTTTCTTATCCACTTTTACCTTTATTTGTCCTGAGTTATATATTTATGGAAGAAAAATATTTGCATGCAAACAATGCTTGACAGCTAATTTTTTGCCAGATTTCTAATAAATGATGATGTAGAAATATTCACTGAACGGATGACTGGGCTGTCAATTATTTAAGGTGGAATGAATTATTTATTAGCGATTAGCAGCTGGTCAGGAGCCTGCTAAGCTGTTGTCAGCGCTGGGCAAGACGTTTGTAATTCTGAGCAACACAAAAGGTTTGGCGATTTCACAAACTAATAATAAACCACTAAGGATCCAAACTCAGGCTAATCCTAAGACATTACTTCCAGTGATCACCATGCTTTAATATTTTGTACACTGCCTTTTCAGCAAATTCCATTCCATGTTTTAATTTACAAATAAACCAAGCCACCTCTGTGCTGTTGGCTTTAACTTTCCATTCTGGCTTTAGTGAACTGGAATTCTGGTATGAAAATGAAGTTATCTTTCATGAATCAAAGCCGTAAAAAAAAGGAAAAACCATGTTAAAAGAAAACCAACCCAAACCAACACTGTAGTAAGTGCTAACTTCTTGGTGAATAAATATCTAACATGAAAGCACAGTTATCATCTCTCTGTACTTAAAACCCACACGTTTTCTAAACTACCAAAGCATTCATGTAGATGACATTTTTTTAAAAGTAATTTTGTTTTGATACATACTCCCAGTAGAAGCAACATGCTCCTGAATACACATTTGTCTAGATGAGTTACTGAGTCACATATTCACAGGGTCATTAGTTCAGTCAAGTACAACATCATCCCAGTATTGCTTCCAAATTTGTAATTAGCAAACACATACTTTTCTGATACTAAAGACCAATAAAAACACTTTAAAAATGGTATTGCAAAACTTGCAATAAAACCATGAGAAATTCAACACTGAAATTATCAGAGTGAATCTTTAACATGTTTATTTATAAGGTGCTATTAATAACCCAGGAAAAAATTTTTGTTTGTTTGTTTAAAAGCCTGGGGACTAAAATTTCATTTGCTCTCAATGGTATGACTTGCTATTCTGCCTAAGCGAGCTCAGGGTGGCAGACAGCACCCATGCTGTCATCGCCAGCATGTCTCCATCCCGGTGAAGGCAGCTGGCTTCACAGCCAGCTTTTTCAGGTGAAGCGCCTCTACCACAAGGAATTCTCACCTGGCCAGCTGTGGATAGCATCCAACTCAGCACACTTCTGAATGGTGCAAATCAACCAAGGAAATCAAATAAATAGCTCATGATGTACAGATAATGCTTTAAAAACTGCTACTACTAGAAAAACACAAGCTATTTGATATAGCTCCTCCATAGTTCTATTTCCTAGAAATCAAATTTAAAAAGAAAATAGCATTATACAACTCAATGACTGCAGCATCAGGTCTCTGATGATTTTTGGTCATACCCAAGTCCTCTGTAAAGGAAATTATGTACGCAAGTGTGCTGCTTTTGGCTGGGATAGAGTTAATTGCTGGCTGGGGTTAAACCATGACAACAAAGAGCTTAAACACAACTTGCTGAACCAATTTGTTGAATTCCCAAGTGTATTACTGCGGATGCAAAGTTTTGCTACATATAATTGGCTGAAAATGCTTCTATCCCTAAACATAAAGATGGTAATTTTATACAAAGCTTACCTAAAGTTCTGTGCCAAATCTAGATGAAAAGTTTCCACGGAGCTGAAATAAAAAAAGCATTGATATCAGAAGGAAAGTTAAAGCGTTCTGCCTGAATTTCAGTTAGCGTTTTAAACTTTTCTATTATGTACACCGTAGGGCCAATAATTTCATTGCATGCTTGATCAGCTTCAGACAAACTTTGTTTGAACGTGACTTATCTGCGCTTTTTGCTTGGAAGAAGCAACCACAGTCAGACAGAGATGCAAACACCTCTAAAGGGTAACTGATGATTATGCAGTCAAGATGATGCCTGGAACGAGTAACTGTTAAACAATCCAATCTTACCTTGGAAACACGAAGAAGCAATTTTAGAACTCTAAAACCCAGTTATGCCTTCATCTTATCTGACCATACAATACAAAGATTTAAAAAAAACAAAAAAAACCAACCCCCACCCCAAACAAAACAAAAAACCCCCAAACAAATACAGAGCCTATTTTTGAAAATGCCATTACAGAAAATAAGTAAGTAGTTCAAGCAATTTTTGTGTTTACTTGCATTACAATTTCTCTACTGCGATCAAGTATTACAACTCTCAGGATTAGTTACTTTTGGAAAAAAAAGTAAAGAAATCTGCCAAATGCATTTGCCGGTGATGCATACAAAACTGCAATTACCACTGTGACAAAAAATATTACCCAGACTAATGATAAGAGAGGAACAAGAAAGTTATTATTAACAAACAAAAGTTATGGGTCTCATTAATTCAGCCTGTATTATTTTTGTTTGTGATCATTTCTATAAATCACTTTTTCAGATCTGCAGTTGAACAGCTCTATTACTTCAAATATTTATTTTTAAAAGATGAAGTAACAAAACATTCCATGATTTCTGTACTTCGCCCATTAATGGTCACCGCTATTCAAACCACAGGCGAAAACATGCTATCATTAGCAAAATTTCTTAAGATAATGTTTCTTTAACATTCATACCACCCCTTTAGCAGTCAGCAAAAGCTGATGCTATGAACTGATACAGTAGCAAGGTCTCCAATTCTCTGGGAACAGCTTTTCCCAGTCCCTTAATAAAGTTGAAATGCAGGGAAAATCTGAAGTTTTGTGTCTGTCTTTCTGCACAAAGTCTTAATACAGAGCTTACACACAAGCTGACTTAGTAATCACACATGTAGTTTGTTCTAAAATCTCATCTTTGAATAAGGCATTAGGAGTTACAATTATGCCACCAAACCTTCTGCTTTTCTTCTGCGACAAAATGCCTTTGACATGGATGCACAGAGGTCTGTTCAAACAAACACTCAAGGGAATGTCAATCACTATGATACCTTTCTCATGCTTTGGCTTCACTGCCTGCCTTTGTACGAAGACTTCTGATACTACAAATACATTGTATTACCCTGTTCTAAAAGGGTCTGCCGTGAACCAGCATGTGGTTATGCCACGCTAGCTCCATGCAGACACGCTAGCATGCATGTAGCTGAAGGCGCTGCAAGAACACCTGCTTGGGGGGAATTATGAAAGAGTAGCCAGAGAGTCAAGAAATGGCATCAAGGGTTTGCTCTTCACTAAATTCCCTGAGAAACCAAACCTGGGGCTAACTTCTCAGTGAAGCTGGTGGTTGGACTGTGAGTGTCAGTGTTACAAGGGAAAAAGCCAACAGGTGGAAAGTCAGCTTTCTTACTGGGAGAGGGTCACTTAGTGTGCTGCAGGAGAGATGATATTAGGTCAGCTGGACAGCTGAAACCAAAAGAACAAATCAAAGATGAGAAAGGGGAGGCATTCAGAAACTAAACAATACATCCCTCCACTGAAGCTAGAAAGAACTGTCCTGCACTCCTTGTCCAAGTGCTCTGCAGAGAGACGAGAAAGGGATTTTTCTTTAGTCTAATATGATTTAGAAACCATTTGTCAGCTGACTCCAGTTCCAAGTTATTTTCTTTCCTTGGAAAGACTTTCTTCCTACAACCCTTACAGCCACTCCAAATTACAGATGTGAACAGGTGTTAAGGGGTAACCTTTATTCTGTCTTTTTTTTTATATGAATTAGATCAAGATTTAAAAAGACCATTGAAGATACCTGAAGAGGGGATTAAAAGCTAAATACTCAAACAAAACATGTATCTGCAAACTCCTTCTGGTTTGTTTAGGTTTTTTTCATGTTTTTCACTATATGATTCAGCAGGCCTCTGAAGAAGGGTAAAAGGAAGGGCTTTTGATAGGAACTAGAATAATCTAGCATAAGAAGTCCTTGCAAAATCCACACTGTGGTAAGAGTGCCAAAGGCTAAGATATTTCTTAAGCCACAGAGAAGTGCAAGTTGATTATAAAATTTTGACAACAGGAATGGATGTCTGGAAGGAATCCCTTGACTCTCTTGGCAAGAAAATAGAAGGAGAATACTGCAAACAATAGGGAAAATTGCTTATCAGAGGAAAAACTGAAAAGCCTTAAGGTTATTGCACAGAAACTGCATTAACTTGATTCCTCTGGTTACTGCCTGCTGCCTTGCAGCGTCCTCCGAAAAGGCAGGAAAGTGAGAAAGGAAACAGGGTATTAGAAACCTATTACATCTAAGCACCTGCCTTCCACAATGGAAAACTCCTTGAGGAAGGAGGTGGAAGAAAGATACATGGTTCCTAAGGGCAGAAATAAATCCAGAAAGGTGTGGGGGAACAGCTGGGCTCTCTGGCACCACCAAATGCCTCAGAAATTTCTTAATAAAATAGCTTTTCAAACAAATAGTGAAAGGCAATTCTATGGGTCTGATAAAATTAAGTGTCCTAGAAACACATCATTTGAGGATGGAGTGTCATTTCAAAACAGATTACAGGAAAGGGCCTCTCAGATATCAGCCTGAAATCCTTCAAAAAATGCAGAACTCTTCCCAAATAAAATTATTAAGTTTGAGATGCTGGAGAAATTCATGGCAGATACTAAAATCCCATGCATTAGACCCTCACTTCACTGGTGGAGAAAACCAAATTTGTTAATCCAAAACAGTCTGAGTGCTAAGGCATGATGCTCACCTGTCTGGACACAAGGAGATGTAGAGCAGAATGAGAAGCACTGCTCCTACTACCGTTGCCAACAGAGATCTCATCCAGGAGCTAAGCTGGCAGAAGTTACAGTACTGCACAATGGTGATCAGAATCGCACAACACATAAACATGGTGTACTGCAACAAAGAGAAAGAGCGCGAGTTAGCTTCTTCTTGCTGACTGGAGCCCTTCTGCACATAAATGCCAGCATAAATTAAAGAACGTGTGATATGGAAGAGAAGGATCTAATTTCGTCTGTATTATATTCACAGTAAGTAATCCCTCACAGTGTATCAGGAGACAGCACTTGAAGATGGAGATCTTCCCTTCAAAAAGCAAGAAAACTTTTAGCACAGGTAGTTTGTCACAATTTTCCCTAAATGGAGTTTTGTATTACTGCATTACACAGCCATTATTTCAGTAACTTTCAATAACTTCAGCTTACCTTTGCAAAAAGCTCAGTGCTTCTTCTTATTTAAAAAAAAAAAAAAAAAAAAAAAAAAGGAGGTAAACATTCTTGGTAGCCTCCTCTAAATTGCTCAGGTTAGAGCCTGTCTGTTTTAAACTGAACGTCAAAATTCCACTGCACTGAATACATGGAATGCATTCACTCTCAAAAACTTCACCCAACTGCCTACCTTTAAAAACACTTAGAGGACTTTATCATACTAGTCAGCAGCAGGTGAACTCAAATAAGAAGAAAATACGTTTTGATAACAAAAGGCAAGTATCACTCATTGTCAACTGATGCCTGGTAACACCACCACTTGTGCCAATTTGAAAGGACAATTTTGGATTTTCTGTTCCAAATGCCCTATCTCAAAAATCTTTCCCTTTCCACATCTTTACTGGATAAAGAAAAGGAAGGGAGGATGGATGTATTGCCCAGAATGTCTTCATTTCCCTGAGATACAATCTCACAGTGGTCAAAACTCTCAAGCTGATGTGCAAAATTTGGTTTTATCAAGAATATTCATGACCACCCAAGCTAAAACAGACACTCCAGAACTGCATTAAGGAGTTCTGTTTTAGCTATATATTGCATTTTACAGTATCAATGATCATTCTCTCCCTTTCTCTCTCATTTTAAATTTCCTTTACAGCTGAAGTGCAGAGACTGCAGATTAGCAATACTGTAGCATAACAAATTAGCATGTGATTCAGAAGTAGACACAGTGTATGGGAAAAAACCTTACATAATTTACCATTTTTATACCACAAGCACAGTTGTTGGTTTTTTAAATGACTCAAAAATGGATAAAAGGCATTTCAGAAGTGTCCATAAAAAAACATAATTTAAACTTACTTTTTTCCCCCCATTTCAGGTCTCCTAAAGTGGCAGAGCACTGGTTCTCACTCCAAGTGATGCCCCAGCATGAAGCCAGCCTATAGAGGGTCAGTAAGTGCTGTGTTTTACTATGTATGCATGGCTTTGGAAAGTTTTTTTTTCATTGCTGTTTTTGTTAATTTTTATTTTAATTATTTTATATCCAGGGAGGGTATAAAATGCTATGAATAAAAAAAAACTTCGCAAAACCATGTCATAGTAAAATATGACACTTACCTGACCCTCTATAGATTGACTCCATTTCCTAGAGCTCCATGACTGTTGAAACACTGAGCACAAGACGAGTTGGGACATCTCTTGGAGAGTGAGCCAACAACCCCACGACTCTGGAGGACCTGCAAGAGGAAAGAAAGCGAAGTTCATTCTCAGTTTGGTGATGAACACCACCATCTTACTGCTGCTGCCTGAACAACCTGATCTGAACAGGTATCTAGAATACACTAATAAAATGGTTCTTCCAACATTATTTTTAAACATTTGGAGAGATGATCAAGGATGGTGATGAATGGGATGATATAAAAAAAAAAAAAAAATCAGTGGACAGAGTTGAGAGATTTGAAGGTTTTCAGCTCCCTTCAGTGTGAGGAAAACATTCCTACAATTAGTTTATTGGTAGTTAATGATGGTCTTCCTCCCTCATGACTAAAAAAAAAAAAAAAATTACAGCTTAAAAATAGTTAACTAAAATTCACAAAAGGTAAAAGCCGCAGAATGATTTTAAACATGGGATGTGAAAGAATATCAAATACACTCTTCTGTGACTGTGATAACCATGGATTAACATGTTTAAATCAGGAAGGACCCAAAAACGTCTGGTCCACACATTCCCATGGAACAAACACTTCCCAACACCCAGCAATAAACTGTGATAGGAAGAATGATAAGGATCTGATTGTTACCTATGCCCAGGGCCCTGAAATAGCAAGAGATTTGTAAAACAGAATTCCCTGAAGATCCTGGAAAGGAAGGATCATACATTGTGCTACCTAAGAGAAACTTGCAGAGAAACCAACTTTTCCTGTCTGGTTCCAGTCCATTTTATTCACAAACAGTTTTTAAGCATTGATTTTATGCTACCATTAGCCTTTAAATTAAAGCATTCTTCCCCCTCCTCAATATTTAACCCCTTGTTCTCCCCTTCTGAATGTTTTTATTAAAGGAGATACCAAATCCCCTGTGGCTGGGCCAATTTCTATGCCAATTTCTTTCCGTTCCTTTTCAGAAGGCAGCTATTACATTCCTTAACCATTCCTGCAGCCCCTGTACGGTAATCATTTCTATGTACTGAGAGCTCTCCTTTGAGTTTCTCCATCTAACTCTGCAAAGAAAAAACATTCACTGCTAATACTGTTCTCGCTGTTGAGATTCACTAATGTGCATGCACAGTTTTTAAGTATACACAGCATCTCTGACAACAAACTCTAAATCAAAACCAGAATGAATGTGATGAAAAGTCTGAGATACATTACTTGCATTATCTAGAATAAACACCTGCAGAAGTGTTTGGTCTAAGAAAAAGAAGTATGTGTGTAGGCAGGCATTTATAGGTATCCCTCTCCTCTTTTGTATGAGAGTCTTCAAATAAGCAAGTGACTGTATTTACATAACAAACTAGGCATTTCACCATACACAAAAGCCCTATCCCTCCAAGGGATTCATATCAAACGGATGTAAAGCACGAGGGTGGTGAAGGAAGATGGCATGCAAGCAACAAGCTTTGTTAGATCCAAAACGTCAGACTATGAAACAGAGTTCGACAACTTACATGTATATTTGTTTCAAAATCAGAGGTGAAGTGTGAAAAAACTGCAAGAGCTGGGAGAGAAACCAGGATTGCACCAAAAAAATGTCGAGGCAGCCAGCCAGATATCACCTCCAGGAGACGCTTGGTGCAAGTCATCACCTCCTCCAGAAAGAACACCATTCTGGAACAAATGAAATCACAGATCGAGGCATTCATTTCCGCGTATCACTTCATACATCTAATTTACCTGTAATAATGTAACTTCAAATACTTCACTTAGATTGTATGAGCAATCACAGCACTTTACATGCCATAGCACCTGTTGGTAATTTCAGGAAATAATCCACCTTTGCTGCAAGATGACTAGCTGTTTGCTCCGGCAAGACATGTCAGCAAAGGGAGCAAGAGCAAGTGGGACAGCGGGCTTTGAGAAAACAAACTGAAACCCAAATTTCACTTACTTGGAAGGTAAGCATAGGAAAGATTTCTCTCCATTCATAAATATTTAGCCTTAAAGCAGGTGGGGAGAGGGGAAGCTTTTACAAGTTTAAAAAATTACCTAAAATAACACCAGAACGTTTGAAAAGCAGGGCTGTATACCCTGCTAACAGATCAGTCACCCAGAGACCGTGTAAATCCATGCCATCTTAACATTATACTGCAATTGAAACCAGTTCTCCCAGTTACAACCACCCCGACACAAGTTCCCGTCTGCAGTTAGACTCCGTTCCCGCTCATTAGGGAAGGGGAAGAAGAGTGTGGGCTGAGAGCTGGCACCCTCAGCAGGCAGCAGAGCCTGAGAAGCAGTTGCGATGAGCACCGTGGAGGCCAGCTGGCAGCTGACACGCTCCTCCGCTCGCCTGTTGGTATCTATCATAGCAACCCAGTTGGCTCTGCACAAGGCATGCGGGAAGGAACGGTTCTTGCCTCAAGCTGCTGATAAAACGACGGCCCAAACCTGTGAAGTGTTGAAGGAGCCAACTGGAAGAGCTCTGGAGAGCAGCTCAATGGAGATACTTCTTAAATGAGAGCATTTCTAATTGTTAAAATGGGTAAGGAAAGGTAAAAGGATGCTTAATGCTTGAGGACACTGCACAGAAAATTGTTGTTTATCTACAGAAACAAATCCTCGGGATAACTTGCTTCTTAAAGCTCAAAAACATTAGTCACTCTAGAAAAATTGTGACTGCTGTTCAAGTTTCTAATTATTTTTATGAAGGTGTAAAAAGGTAACGTAGTACAGTTAGATTCATTCAAAGCCATTTCACCGTGGATGTATGTGATTATCAGAATCCGTCTGGGCAGGTAATTCTGCTATTGTAACAGTGGACTACAGCAGAGCCCAAACAGCAAATAATTCCTATTTTTTTTAACAGAGATGCTCACAGCTAAAAAAAAGAAAAAAAGAAAAACAAACCACACACACTAAATACAAAATTCACAATCTCCAAAGTTATACAAATTATTCCTTATTACCTATATCTTTTAAAGGAGAAAAGCTATGCACTGTTTTTTTAACACTGTTGTCTAAAATACAAGGTATTATGCTGGATAAAAGCCTGATACAAAACAGGATAAATATAAAGTTCTTTATGTGAATTTGACACTTATTCCACACCTTTAAATATGTATTGTTTATGAATGATATTTTAATTCTCTGGTCTAGACTCCTGTGAATTTTGCAACCTCAAACATTTTTTTGAAGCTTCAAGAGCTCTTCTCTAATTTAATATATTAAAATCTGGAAATTATACTTAAATGCATAGAAAAAGAGCAAGTTGGGGTAACAGGATGGAAGACGCTGTAATACATCAGGACCCCACGAGAGGGTGCTCACAGATTTGTTAGTTCCTAGTTTAATGGACTTCCATTTACACCAAAAATTATAGTAATATTCCATCATAAAAAAGAATTTCCAACAAAGCACAGAAATTAAAAAATTGTATACAAAGCAAAATAGTTGTTTTAAAAAAAGCACTATAGAGCAAGAAGTGGGTTTTCTGAAGTGTTATATACTGTCCTAACTCAGTTGCCTCTAACATCAATGACAGAACTATCCCCGTCTTCAGTGGCAGCCAAGTTAGCCCAGTATCGAGTACTTCTGAAAATGCCACCCAAGTTCATGCCTCTAAAAATAAAGTTCGATTCTCCCAAAGCCTACGAATTAGGATTAACATTTACAAGGCTGAACTGTGAGAAAGGAAACCGAATCGGGCTCCAACGCAGAGCACCCCCTGGGCTCCCCCACGGCAGCTGGGTGGAGAGCCAGGAGAAGCCAGTCTCTCCGAAGGCAAATCAGCGACACCTCTGCCCACGCTCTGCATGATCTTCCCTGTCACTCCCATGTAGGCTGGCACAGAAACCAGCTCTGTGGCACGCAAAGCATGGCAGATACCCAGTGCAGCTCATGTCTCTCACCCCAACCCACACAACAGGGACTCCATGGTGCAGAAAGCTTTTTTAATTTTTTTTTGCCAAGCCTCCATGCCAGGACAAATTCTTGTGGGAACTATAGCAACAAATCCATCAGCAAACCCGATCAGTTAATCCTGTGATGAGGACACTTCTTTATTTAGGCAGCTGCATGTTTCAAAAAAGCTAGCGCAAATTCCAGGACACCACCACATTTCTCGTGATAATGTTTACCTTCTTGCACTGATTTCCGCCCCCCCCCCCCCCCGTCCGGTATTTATTGCAATGCTCTGCACTCTGGAATTAAAACTATTGAAATCCCATCCTTCACAAAACAGTGAAAGTCTGTGAATACAGCACAACCCTCCCATCGCAAGAAGTGTATTAAATCCAGACAGCAATGAAAGCTGCAGACAGATTTAACAGCTACAGGGCAGTATCAGTAAATAATGCAGTGTCAGTGGGTAGCTCAACAGGCCTTAAATGCTAAAGCATCCAAGATGTGATTTCAAATTAGTAACTTTGACATAAATGATTAATGGGGAATGGAGAATGTTACCATCATTTCTGCATTTACTGGCAGTTTAAAATCAATTCCCATAGACCAAATCAAAAGCTTTTGGCATAGCAGCAATTTGGTGGGATATTAAATACCAAAGTCACAGATGTTAGAAATAAATAAAGGCAAACAGAATACATTGTTTTCCCTTGCATCAATATTCTGTATCAGTCATGTTGTTAACAGAACCGGTTCATTAAGCTCTAGTTGCAGAAAACAGTTTTGGTTCCTGGTCATGAGGAATTCAAGGAGATCCAGCTGGTTGGCCACAGGGTCTCAGGTGTGGACAGCCCGTGGGTGTTACTTCAGCAAGGAAGGGGAAGTACCAGGCAAAGGGCAGTTTTGTTTCGTCGGACAACAGGAGTTTCCCATTCCACTGTTTTGATTGTACTTGCTTGCTTTCTTTACCTGGAAAATATTTTTTTTTCCCCCTCTAGAAAGGTACTTCTGAATTCACGAAGCAACTTATCAAGTGCTTCCACCTCTCACTCTTTTGAACAGCGCTGAAATATCCAGTGTTCTGGCCTCATCTCTTCACTCAGAAGTCTTCACTGAAGGATGCTATCAAAGCGACACATTTTTTGTAAACAAACTTATTTATAACAAGTTTTACTCGAGAACAAGGACTAGATGTCAAAAGTACCTAGTCAACAAAAATCCTGTATTTATAGCTAAAATAGCAGGCAGATGTCTTTTACCTATATTCCTGCAGAAGCACTCCTAAGAATCCCAAGTGAAATCTCACACACTGTTGTATGTTCAATGACATTGCCCAAGGTATTTTATGAAATAGCAGAACTTTACGACCTCTTACACTTCAACTGAACTCATGAAAGTCAAAGTAGTCACATTTCAAGTGGGCAGAAGGACATTCTTTGTACTACATTTATACAGAACAGATGACATCTTCCACATGCTTACAAATGAAGCACCATTTTTTGTGTGCAGCTTTACACAATTAATTTTAGAGTGGCACTTGTGATAACAGTGGGATCCTCATCTATAGATACTCCTATAATTTATCATCAGACACTTCAGAGGAATCAAAACATCCTTCTCCCTTGTAAGCCTTGCTCCATGAGGACTTCTGCTCTTCTAGAACTTAAAAGTTTTAACTCATTTCTCATTGTACAGGCAGCAATAGTGCTCTCCTATCCTACTCCTGCAGCTGGACTAAAGGTCTTAGCCACAAGAGTTGTAGCTGTAGCGAGTACTTCCTAGGCTGCATCCTGGATTCAATTAAAAGTTAGACTGATTTAAAGGCAGGGTGGTTTGCATCACGATAATGCAAATACAATGAGAAACTTAGGCAAGAATTTTCTGGTCCCAAAATAATCCCTTTTCCTGAAATTCTGGGATTGTGCCCAGCATTGTAGTCCAATCTCCTCCCTTAAGATATCTCGGTGGTATTCTGTGATTGTCATTTGGGATGACATTTCTGCACAGGAAGGTCTGCACATACGTTTCTGCGCATAACAAGTGGTCAGAGTGAGCAGTCCTCACTTTGAAGAGGATTTGAAGAGGAAAAAGATGATTTTCTTCTTTCTGCTCAAGGGAACTGTACAGAAGCGTGTGCCTCAGGCTGTGGAAACCAAAGTGGCCAAAAAGCGTATTTTATGTATTTACTATAAAGTAAATACATATTATAAATTCAAAACAAAAAAATACCTCCAAGTCAAACCAGATACCTTTTCCTACAAACGTCCCCCCCAAATACACCATTGCCATTACATTTAAAACTGAAAACCTATCACAAAGCTTCTGAGATTTTCATCTACAAAGACTGCTCTTTTTTGATGTATAGTATGAGGCTATTTTCTAGAAGGTACCCTGGGTAAGATCTACTCAGACCTGAGATGGTCCTGTTTTGTACTTTAAGAGATTTACTGAAGTGTTACCTTAGATGCAATGATCATAGGTAAGCCAAATAAAATTATACCTCATTAGTAGAGGAAAGATGACAAATGTGAGCCCATGGTAGCAAGTTCCTGAAAATCAATTGCTTGTAAGTGTGGAGTAAATACAGAGTGATTTGTAGACACTTCCACCAAAAGAAAGGAGCAACACATCTCTCACTTGCATGACAGGGGCTCCAGTAGCAAGGGATACCTGGAGACTTGATTCCTATGTCCCTATTCCTCCACTGCCAGTTTGACGGAGGGCAGGGAAAGGCAGCAATCACTTATCCCATCCAGTGATTCCTGTTTCCCAAACTAACCATAAGAATTTTGTGGGGTCTTGAGATTCATGGTCATCTTGACTCCAACGAATGCAGGAAGTGCTCGCAACCACTGATCATCTACACCTGTAGTAGCTGTGCAGGAACTGCAATATTCCCTGCATGCCCAAACCTCCTGTTAGTGCCCATTAGGATAAAAGACAGTCCTGCATGCTGGCAGTACGGTGTTTATTGAAAATCTGTTATTTATTACACCAGGTGGGACTATGTGAGTTTTGATGGCTGGCTACAGGTGTTCTCCACAATATGACATGTTTCTCAACCTGTTTTTCAAATCAGAATTAAGCACAAAAGAATGATTAATATTAAAAAAATATATACTTTAAGACTTAGAAGTCATCCTGAAACACTTGCTTTTTAAATCTCACTGACTTTAAATGAGGCATACAAGCCAGCTTAGTAAAATTTGGGCTTTAAGTCAACATAGTCTCATGAAAATATTAGAAATGTCACTGGCAAAACCAAATAGTGTTAAGAAAACATTATAAAGCCACTTAAGCTCACTTTGGTAATGGCCCAGGCTCACTACCAGAGAGCATGGCTCTCAATATAGTGCTGCAATGAAGCTAAACCTCTGTACAGCCGTACACGGCTCAGAAAGACAAAACCACTTTGCAAATTCTTGACTATATAGATAGCATATTGAAAACAAGAGTTTGCCTTCTCCTTAAGAAACCCATAAACCACCAATTATAGAACAGGACTGAAATAAAACCCTATGTACCTACATAAAAAAATTTCTAAGATTATAGCAGTATTTTTTTATAAATGTACAAAGTAAGAAAAGGCAAACACAATGTAGCACTGGAAAAACAAGTGGGAACAATAATGAATTTAAAAATACTAAAATGGGGTATTTGGATAAGGTACCTGCAAGGTGAATGAACACAAATTTTCTCCAAACATATCTGCATAGCAGAAACCAGCTCTTCTGCAAAGTGGTGGTTGAATTGTTCAGAGCTGAACAAATTCAAGGATACAATGCCATGGCCACCAAACCCAGACTACCTGCTCACTGCTGCCTTCCTACTCTCCTGCCTGGTGTGATGAAAGAGCTGCCCAAGCACATTAAACTGACAAAAAAACCTTCCCCCCCAACCCAAGAGAGAGTACAGAAACTGTTCTGCAAAAGGGAAAATGCATTTCTGGTGCAAGAGGGAGGACAGAGCAACAGCTAATCCAGTTTAGGATGCACTGGAATGACAGTCCTACCAGTTCAACCATCTCCCAGTACAGGTCTTAACACTTTCTGAATTTCTAGATTTTCTGAAAACTCGAGAACTACAATACCAGTCAAATTGCAACAATCAAATACACCTGCTAAGAAATACTATCCTTAAAAGCATTTCCACTGTTCATAAATTACATCTCTCTACTCCTAAATGCCAGCTTTTGTGTAAATATGCTTGCATACATTTATATGCACACTGAGTTACAAGCTTGCTTCAGTGACTAAAGTACTAATTTAGTATTTTTTACCTTGACCCTGAAAAGTCAAAATAAGAGTGTAAATTGCAATCTCGTTTATTTTGAAACAACAGCAGAATTGCTTCTAAATTGTAATTACAAAAGCATTGTAACTTAGACATACCTAACAGATTTGCAAAACTACAAGTGAGGACACACATTTCCACACACCACCCTTATAATGTGCTCTTGTGTCAGAAGGAAGTGCAGTGAAAACGGGGAATGAGGAGGGCAGAATAAACTTGCTCTCACAAGTACAAAGAAACAGCTTATTATTGGGTCTATCATCTGGGTTAATAACAGGTTACACGTGGTATCTGTATAAATCAGACAACACACCCAGGAGAGCATGAGCTTTACTGAATGCATGTACAACTGCAGTCTTCTGTTACACGTGAATGTGTTAGTAACTCCAGTGTGCCTGGGGGGAACCCCATGTTACACAGGAACCGCACAGTAACCGCTCGCCAACTAGTTACAAATGCCAGGATAAGGCCTGCAAGTGTCCTAGAAGTACAGAACACACATCCTCCGGGTGACTGGGTACAAATCAGGAATGAGGAGTCCTTGTTAAGTACCAGGTATCTGCAGCCAAGCCTCGCCTCCAAAGGCACAGGAGAGGTTGAGCTGCAGGGACACATTCAAGAACTCAGGGACTGGGGATTCTTTGCAGTGGGCTGTGAAGAGGCAGTGTGGGGGATGGCACTGCCAGGCACAGTCCTGCGAAGCCGCCCTTTCTGCAGAGACAAACTAGTGCCCCTTCCCTTCTCGAGCAACAGCTGACTGTTACACAGCCCAGGACTCGGGGGGGGGAAATGCTGAACTCCAGTTATGTGTCAAACAGAGACAACACAAACTATTTGAATATTAAACCCATGCATGAGACTTGAAATAGAGATCGTTAAGAAAACTGTAGAGATGCAATGTGACTTTTGCCTTTTTTTTTTTTTTTTTTTTTTTTTTTTTTTTTTTTTTTTTTTTTTTTTTTTTTTTGAGGAAAGGACTGTTCTTTGCATTTCTGATAAATTCCTCCAGTTTTAACACCAGAATGGCATATATTTATCTAGGAATTTAAAGGCAGGGATTCTTTTTTTTTTGAAAGACAGATAGAAGTTTTCTGTTTGAATTCCCTCACTCTGATGGCCCTGTGAAGGGAAAATATATCCAGTTGCGTGTGGCACTCCAAGGAACAACAAGAAGGGGCAGGCATGGCATGCAGATTCTGTTTCCTTAAGTGGCCTCTATCAGAGTCACCTTTCTCTCCTCCAGTTTCTGTAGCTAGACCTCTCTTTGTACAAGATCTGCCGGCAAGCCTGCTTGGCTTCACTAACACTGGTCTCCAAATATTACAGACCATCCAAGTGAGTTCCTGGGATGCTGTCAAACAAAATGTTCCCAAGCCAGCCACCATTTCAGTTCTCACTGCTATTTCAAGACTTTCTTACGCTTTATTTACCTGATTGAGATGACAAGGGACAGCACCTCTAGCAGGATGGCGATGACGAACACCACAACTGCTGCAGGCGGTGGAGGGGATGCGACCATCCCATGTTTCAGGAAACACGTGATAGAGAGTATGAGGAAGACTGTGGTGGAGAGGAACACGTCCAGGAGCGAGCTGAAGGTAGCACTGGCAAATGTCTTCACTGGAGCATTCTTTACAACCTGTGTGGAATACAGGGATTGAGGGAAGGAATGCAAATGAATAAATGCTATTTTACTGAATTCAACTGTACCATGAACAGCAGCTCACAAAAACAAATAAAGGAATACAGAACTTTTTGCCACTCCATTAATCAAACCCAAGTACTGTTTTGCAACACGAAACTGAAGAGGCAGTTCAATGGCTATCACAGTTCCCTGAGACTAAGTCTGTGTTGAAAAAAGCAGTGGCAGCAGAGCCTCTGGGTCTGGGGTGATTTTTACAGAACATTATGATACAGAAATAAACCATATGAAAATTGCCTATTCTATGCAAAGAAACATAAAAAACGTAATTACTAGCAGATAAAGCTCTAAGAAGTTTTCTTCAAGGATTTTCATGTAAAATAATAATAGATTTTACAATAAACCTTTTAGCTCCAATGGTTCTTTAAGAAAACCCTCCAAATGCCACTCTACAGAAACAGTTACTTGCCTGCGGCAGAGTTCACATCTCCCTTTCAGACCAGATTAAAAGCAGCAATTGGGACGCTATGTAATCTGAATTGATCAGAGCCCAGGACACCAAGTTCTGTTCTTCTGTAACCCCTTACCACACATTCCCATCCCATCTTGTCCTGGCCCCAGTGCTTGTGCAGCTGTGCTTGTGCTACTTTGGCCAGTCCAGCTGAAAACTAGATCATGAGCTCCACATCCTGGCTTACTCAGATGAGCCCAGTCTTATGAGTGTTTATATCTGCCCAAGGGACCACAGAAAGCAAGTTCCAAAGAAAAACAAAAAGTATGTTATCAATATTGCCATGAAGTAGCCCAGCTTGAGTATTCTGGTTTAATTTGGAAATTTCGTTTGCTCCTCAGACTACTATCTGCACTCAGCAATACTGGGAAATACAAAAACTTGTTCCTCATTTGTACCTCTCTGCAACCTAATAAATTCAGCTAGCATCATTTCAGTGCCAAAACTACCTTTTAATCTGAACTGTAGCAGAATCCTGTCAGTCCACAGAGAAAGTCACATAAATTGAATTAAGGAAAGCAGCACTGTATCCTAAAGTGACAGTGTTAAGGATGCCCTAACAAGTGTTAAGTAGTGCCTTGATTTCCAAACAAGAACAGGCTAAGCAAGCTCTTGGGAAGTGGAGCTGCTTACAGAGAACGATCACAAACCAAGCATGCAGCTGGCACTGTGTAATTAGAGGTGGTGTTGGAAGTTACTTTCAGCAACATTTTACTGCAAGGCAATTAAAGAACCAGCAGTGCTGACAAATCATTTCACTCTCCAAGAGAAGGGTTTTTTTTAATTGTTGTTGTTTTGGCCCAGTACCATGCTATTATTAAGCCTTTAACAGGTTTTTGCCCCAATGCTGCAGAGTTACTATTAAAGAGTGAAGATTCCCATTTCCAGGGAGGTTTATGTAATATTTTTCAAATTAATAGCTTGCCACTAACAACATGCGCAGACCACATTCACTATACTTCTATGACTTTCCTACATATCCACATTAATAGGTCAATCTGTCACTGCTTCACTATCACTGCTTCACTTCTCTTTCCAATCTTTCCATTGGAAAGAACTTGATTTACTATTTTTGTGTAGGTTTTGCAAATTTTACAGGCTGTAACCCACAGGAAGTTTCTCCCTGTTGTTGCTACATGAGCTTTATTCAGAGAGATATCACTAGAATACAGCGCTGCCAGATGAGTATGGAGCTTCTGAACAAAGTGAACAAGCTGAACTGCAACACAACTATCTTTCCCTTTGTTAAGAAAAAAAATAAGTTAGGTCTCATTTGTAAACATTGGAAAACAATCAAATAGGGACTATTGCTAAGGCCAATGTGACAACGCTGCCCAGAACAGAGCAGCCCATGAACAGAAAGCAAAAAGCAGTAGAAGCAGAAATCCTACCTGCCCTCAGATGTAGGGTATACCAGGAAGAAAAGAAACCAACACCTACATTTATCACGATGCAATTCTGCCAGATGGCTGACCCAAACTAATAGCTCAACGCTATTGGAATGGAAGGGCTCATTCCCCTTTCTGCTGCTGGATGCTTATCTTGCACTGGCTCTGGCACTTGCCAACCTCTCTGTGAGCTGGTGGTTCAATACAGCAGAAAACAGCCCCAAACAGAAAACCAAAAGATGAGTATTTTATGCGAGGTTAGTAAAATAAACTGGCTCACAGCAGGCAAGCCTATAAGCACCAGAGCCATTAGAAGGAGCAGGGAGGAGTAGGAACAAGGAGGGGATGGCACAAGACAGGCAAACTGAAAGGAGACTGTTTTCAGAGGCAGTAATACCAAGAAGTAAATCACATGCGACGTTTCATGACCCTTGTCATCAACTGCAATGAAATGTGCTAAAAACAATGACAGACAGTTGCTTAGACAGATTACAGAAAGTAATTAATGCCAGGAGAAACACACCTCTTGCTGATAGCTCGTCCTGTAGGCCATCTCCAAATCCTGATCCAAGAAGTTCAGGCTCAGCTTGTTAATAGGCGGTTTAAAGAAGTAGTCTTTCATGAGGCTAAAGAGAAAAGATGGTATCAACATCAGTTTACTCAGCTGTAACTCCTTCAGAGCCCCCCGTTCTGTGGTTTCTGTTTTGAAGTTGCTGTTGCTTTTCTTTACTCTCAGTCACCGAGGTACCCCCTTATCTACATTACTCGCTCAGTCAGAAGAAGTACTTTACAAAAAAAATGAGAGCGCAAGCTTTCATATTTTTAGGAAGAGACTAACAAGTCCTTCCAGAAACTTAACAGCTATAACCACAGATGACTACAGATAATTGTAATATAAGCCAGCAAATAGTAAAGGTTAATTGCTGCTACAGAGGCACAACCTTAGGAGATGCATGGCTGCGGGATATTTGTGTCTTAGGTGGAATTCTGTCGTTCAAAGCAAGCCAAGGATGACAAAGGTGACAAATTGTTAGAAAAAAAATGTCCATTTTAGAAAGCATCACTTTCTTATTATTTCAAAGACACTAAAATAACTCAGTAACTCAACTGGGAACATTCCCTTAATGATCCGGGCTGCAAAGAAATGGAACCTGAGAAGACGGATTGCTTAAATTTACTTCTGAAACAAAAGATTTGAAATCACCAGAATCACCAAAAAAGGCACTGACAAATAACAAAACTAGCTCACTAGGACTAACGAACCAGTAGGCAGCATCTACCACAGGGTGTTTATGTGCTCCTTCACCTTATCTTCCAGTGCCAGGTGCAGAGGAGATAAAAAAAACCCAAACCCAAACACAAAAGAGGCCTCAATCATTAAAAAATTGTTTCTATTCCCCACCCTCAGCAAAAATACAACATTTTTTGAGTTTTACATTAGTTGTAAGAGGTTTATGAAAGAGGTTTCTAACATCATCTATGGCACTTGATCTGCAAAGCTTTTCTTTCTCCAGTAGGTGTCAAAGAGCTGAGAGGACTCAAATTACAGAGCACTGAGCGCTTTGTGCCCAGTGGTCACAGAGTAAGGTCACTCCTGCTTATGCCATTTATTGCTGAGATAGCCTGTCACCCTCTCTTTCTCTCCAGTCCTCACCTGAGACTTCAGAACACATACTCTTGCTATGAACCTCTTTTCATTTTCAAGCAAATAGTTACACTTGTTATTTATAGTGAACTGTTTTTAAAATTGCTGTAGAATGTGAAATGGGGCAGCTTCTTTCCAAGTGCCATTCCTACCTCAAAAACTGCAGCACTGAAACAACAATTAGATTGGACTATTTTGCAGTTGATAACTCTCAAGCAAAAACCACAGAGATGCACATGAGATCAAATTCCAAGCAGAAAAAGAACTGAAAGGTCCTACAGAGCTCATCCGTGCCTGAATCCTTTTTGTTTGTCTTTGTTTTGTGTTGGTGGTGGGTTTTTCTGGACTCCTGGCAAAGAGGTTTTTTGGAAGTACAAGCTCCCCAGCACAAGATGGCACGTGGGAAGCAATTTTTCTTGAGATGTGCGACCAACCGAACACATATTCCTAGACTGAAGGTTGAGAAGACAAAAGACTTCAACCATGAACATGGCAGATACTTTATAACCTTTAAATATTTTGGCCTTGGCCAATATATTAAAAACATCAGGATACTCCAAAGGAATGACAGGACACATTCACTTGAGTCCCCCTTCTCTCCCTCATTCTTCCTTGTCTTCCATCCCTCACCTCTCTTAGATGTTTCTAAGAACATCTTACAATATGAATTTTACAAGGTTTTTTTTTTTTTGTTTTGTTTTGGGTTTTTTTTTTTTTAAATATTGTTGAATTCACTTTCTTCCTCCAGGGAAGCTTAACAGAGCATGGTGATGTTGTGCTGGAGCTGTGATGGTCTAAGGATGTAGGAAGAACAATCCAGTTTGCCAGTGCAGCACCAAACAGAAGGTATAATACGATGAAACCAGGGCGAAGACAGCATTTCTGATGTCAGCCAGCCGTACCGTGCCAGTCCAGCTCCATGTCAATAGTCGTCTGTCTCAAAGAGGAAGATCCCAGTTTAGTTGACTAAACACAGTCAAGTACATAATCTGCTTCCCAGAAGGAGCTGTGCCTCCCCAGCACAAGCGATTTCTGTTTTCCCTGAATCAAGCAAGACTGGGAAGTGGGAGATGAAAGCAACAAACAAATTTTAGAAGTATTTAAACAGGAAACTGACCCAAGGGGGGGATGAAGGGCTGTACAGACCCTAGCTTCTGGGGGGAACTTCATATTTCCCTGGGACTCTGCTCTCTAAGTCTAAAGAGATCATTTCTAAGTACTGTCCTGATTAGCACAGGAGTACTTGTTTCTTGCACTTTAAAATGTTTACAACCTCATGAATATGTAATTTTTCTTGGTAACAAAAATCTAAAAAGCAAAAATCCTTTGAGGGTATCCCCAATGAAATTAAGTTTAAACATTTTGTACTCATACACTATAGTTTTCTTTTAAAATACACAGTAACATGCAGATTACAATGAACAAAGCATGGTATTTTTATAGTGGTTGTAGTAAAGCCAGACTCAAAGCTCAAACTATACACTGTTTGCCAAATATATATAATCAAGTTGTATGAATATGCAAACTGATAACCTCTATGAAATGGATTCTTGTATAATGCAATAATACAAACATGCCACACTAACACTGGTTTTATTATTATCATCATTATTTTTAAAGACAGCTGGAACTGTGCTATCAGCTCCAAGGCGTGCAAAGAGACCAATGGCCACTCATGAAACTCTCAGCCACACACCTAAACCCTAGAAAGAGGCTGGGAAATGAAAAATATCACCAGTGTCCAGCATTTTCTCCAGGCTAGCGCTAGGCAGCTCCCTAATGCAGCGTACAGGCTCCTAAATCATCCCTAGGATATGTTTAACTCTTCCCAGCTGTACAGGAAACCTGTGTGATTAATTTATGCACCTTATCACCATATCTGGGTTAGCTACTTTCTGTTAATACAAATTTATATCACAGATCAGAACACCAGTATCATGCACCACAATGGAAATCACTGAGCCCAGTGCTAGGGGAAGCTCACACTTTGCTGCTGCTGGGTTTGCAGTAACATAAAACCAAAGCAGCAAAACTCCAGTATTATTATTGCAAATGGGATTTCACGTAAGGTGACCAAGGGGAAGTTTGGACTTCACCTCCCTCCCTGAGAAAACTCAAATTTCCCATTCAAACATCCTCACAGATAGTAGATTTGTTGAGACCAACAATATATTATGGGGATCAAGAATGTTTTTAAAATGACTTATTACATATGACTTCACATTGAGAAATGTTAAAAAGGATTAATGTACAACAGTAGGCTTAAAACATTTTGCATAGACCTAATTAATCAGAAGATTATTTTTGGAAAGTTATGTTTACATGAACTGAACTCAGCAGAGAAGTTTCCCTGGCAACAAGAAATGGCCCACTTAATATGGTAATGATAATATTTAATTGAGACAAAAAAAAAAGCACTAGGCTTTGACTGATATGAAATCACGGTCCTACTTTTTCCTTTTTCCAAATCAGAAAGAAGTATCCATTTTCTAAGCAGAGGAGGAAAACACCAGGAACACAAGAGCTTAAGCTAGGTATCTTCAGCAAACCAACGGCATAAATTAAGCTACTTCTATAACTTAAAATTTGCAGCATGCTAGTTACATTTTAAACAAAAATCCAATTTGTTCTTGCCGATTTCTGCCAACATTTGGACAATCCTTCTGTCTTCTAATATTTGAAAATACCAGCTAAACACCTATTCTCAGCCACTAATGACAGAACACACATAGAGAGAAAAAAAAAAAAGGAACCTAAATTTTAATTGAAGTTGGCCACAGGAGAAAAGTAATGTGAAAAAATCTAGAGAAGAGACTGGAGAGGGACTGGTGGCTGTCCCTCTCGGTTCTCCCTGCTTTAGTCATGTTTTCAGTTAAGACGACAGTGTCCCTGTTCCAAGCAGCCTGGAGTCTATACGAGCATACAGTTTCAAGGATATTTAGATAAAATACCCCTAATCTAAGTGGAAGCAGTGAAGCAAAAATAAGAATAGCCATAAATAATAACAAATGCAAGTTATCTGTTTAGTTGATCCAGTCAAGTCACTGCCTTAATAAGGGAGATATGGTTGGGTGTTTAAAAAAAAACAAACCCAAAACCACATACCAATGAATTTTAGAGAACATACTTTCTTCTGACCAGTAACGTTTTTTTGTTTGACAGAGAATCCAACTTTAAAAAAATACAGTAGGTACGTAGTAGGCCCATGAATTCACTCCTATTAATTCTGCTTCCAAGCCCAGTACAATTTCTAGGCATTAGTTAGTCACACAATGTTATCAGATGTTGTTCTTTTGCTATACAAAAATGTGAGTTTTGTGATTCAAATTTTATGTTACACTTTTAATTGCAGAGGAGGGCATACACTATGTGCATTAAGAGGACTTCTGAATGTAACGATAAGAGTTCAACTTCATGACAAGTCATTGAAAGAGTATTTTTTCTTTTCAAAAAGTCGACTGAAGAATGACTGTTCACCACGGAAATGATGAAAAACCTGGCTTTACATATTCCTGAGCAGCATGTTTCTGACATCAAGTTCCTACTGTAGTTTAAATAGAATGTAGACTAAGATCAGAAAACATACCATGTTATATGCTAACAATAAATTATTGACATTGGACAAAAAGCACACAAAAAGATACAGGACCCCTGTTACTGCCTTCTCTCCTTTATACAATTTTACATTGTACAGCTCGACTTTCCTTACCTGTCTTCTTTGATCACATCCACAAAGTGAGCATCTGTCTTTTCTCTGATGTTTTTGAACCTCAAAGGAAGGAGAGCTGATTGATCCAGACTCACTCCACCCCATCTTCCTTTCTCTTGCAACATTTCATAAAGCGAGGTTTGACTATTACTGAGCTTTTCTTCCTGTGGAGGACTCAAAAGCCCATTCTGAGTCTTTGGACTGTGTCCTCCTGGAGCCTGAATGACAGAAAGCAAAACATACAAGGGGCATATTAGTGGTTGAGAAAGTAGACAAGAGATTTCACAGAGCACAAGTTAAAAGTAGTTCTTCCCGCAACACACTAAGCTTTTACCAGATCACGTCAAAGACCTAACTCTGCCTGCTTTGGAGTCATTCACATCTTCTGTAAGTGCATGCCTATTTAGGTGACGTCTTTTTGCTTTTTATGTACCAAGTTTCCAAGGAGCAGAAAAAAAAGTACATTTTCACACACATAATGAAGACCAACCACAAGCCCAAATTTCATTCACTCATCTTAAGGTCAAGATTCTTCTAAAAAGCTTTTTTACAAAACACAAATTACTTTCAACCAAAATGATTCTATTTTCATGGAACCTGAAGTTCCTTCTTTTACATTTTCTTTGGCCTAGACCAATTATGCACTGAAGCAGTTAAAAAAAAATTAGACAACCGAATATGGTTAGAATGAAAATGAACTGCAGTTAGTCAGGATCATTTTCAAATGCAAACATATATCAAACTTAGCATATTTGAATGCTCACCTCCCCCCTCCATGTCTTATCATTTATCATGTATCATTTATCCTCATCCTGAAACCCACTCATGACAGAAGTTTCTTCATTTCTGCCTGTACAGCAGTCAGCACAGCAGTGACAAGCTCCTCCAGAAGACTATTCTTGGATGCCACCGCAGTGACCATAAATACCATAAATATCATCACCACCCCAACCATGCACTGAAATATGTTACTTAGATTGTAAAATCAACTTAGTTAAAATTAAGAAATATCTGGTTTCCAGCTGCCCATACAAAATTAATTCAACCTCCTTGTGTATCAATCCTGTAAAGCAAATGAGGCACATGAATATAGGCAGGTATAATTAAAGGTGCAGACACAACCAGTGAAGACACCAGACTAACAGAACAGCAGGAGGATGTCACCTTGTGCAGGGAAGAGTCAGAAAGCACTCGGGCTTGGCTCCCTATCACTGACTGCCAAGACCTCAAGAACTAAAGTCATAACCAGGTGTGATGGAATGGTTCCCTGGAGCTACAGGAAAAGCAGGAGGAAGGTGGGCTGTGCTCCTCCTTCCTCCCGCCTGGGAGGGACGCAGGATCCCCACCCTGCAGGCTGCCCTGACAGAGGTGTGAGCCCCTAGAGCCATGTTTTGGAAGCCAGGAGATGAAAGGATTCCCAGTCTAGTTGCTTCTACCATTCACAACAGTTGTTTTGGCAGCTTGCAGGTGTTCACAGCCCAGTGATAGCATCTGATGAAGCAGAGTAAGAAATTTAGTAGTTACCTTGGTATATGCTGCCAATGTTTTGCTAAAGAATGTAACCAACAGAAGAGAAAGGTGATTTCAGCAAGACATATCTCAGCAAAAGCAGAGCAAAAAACTCTTGGACCAGTGCTTGCATATGACAGAAGGGCACTCTCCTGGTAAGCCAGAGGCACAAGAACTTTTCACATAAAACGTCACCAGTTTTTTTTCTAAGGGAAAATATTCAGCAGCTTCAGAGCAAGTCCTCCTGCAACCGTAACAGGTTATCTAGCCTACCCAGAGGGAACAAGGCTATGAAGCACAAGATGTACTGCAGTGCCACGGTAACCTCTCCGTTTTTGAGATGAGGAGTACTAACAAAGGCAAACCAAAGAGAACTGTCCAACAAATTGCTGTAAGTGAAGGGTCTTCATTGTTTGGGATTTTTTTTTTAATTTATGCTAAAGATTATATTTGCTCAGAGCACTTCCCAGAACAACTTGAGGCCTAAAAAAATGAAGGTCATAGTTACCACCTTTTTTTTTTTCCCCAGTAAAGAATCTTTCTCCTTTTCCTCACCCCTGCAGCAGATGTTGTTACTTGAAAAGCAGTAACCAAGAGAACACAATTTTTGCTATGAGCAGCTCAAATAAAAGATATGGACTCCTGTGCACTGTTTGCTTTCCCTGTCTGTTCTTCAAGTTAATCTGAAGAATGCAGTGAAAATTTCTGCTCTTTCAGAGAAGGTCAGCATGGACTTCTCTTGGCCTTTTCTCTTTAGCTCCTTGGCAAAGGCTCAAATCCCTAAGAAAATTCTTCCCTTCAGTCAGCTCAAGGTTTTCCTGTGCTGTCTCCACTCTGTTAATCTTAACAAGAGGGGATTAGAGTGTGAAACTGCTTGTGTGTAAGGAGAAAATCCCTATTTATTAAATGTTGTTAGCTCCAACATTACTGTGGTTTCTGATGGCAAGAGGCTGTACAGGTTTTTTTCAGCACTCAGAGATTTCATGTACCGTGCAGCAGTTTCCTCTCATCAAGAGACAGGGAGGCTCCAGAGGCTGTTGGTACCCATGAAGGTCCAAGGACATGGTTAACATCATTAACATTCCCTAAAGACAGGGGACATGAGTGCTGCAGGGCCAGGCGCAGTGATGTGGCATGGGAAGAGTACAGACTCCAGAGATGGGTAGAGGGAGCTTATGGCTCTTCTTCCCAAGAAAGCTGAGACAGCAGAGAAGATCTGAAAATCAAATGCCACAGCAACTTTGTGCATGTAGCTGTTCTTTAAGCTTTCAGTTAAACAGGCATCCCAGAGTTACTGGTAGCTACTTAACTGGTCCAATTTTTGACTTAGCAATAACTAAACCAAATCAAAGAAGGATATGCGATTGGGTCTCCACTACCATGTTTCTTCCAGTGAAATGACGGACATTATATTCAGCACCATACAGACCTCTTTTAAGCAAGGTTAGATGACTTGCTGATTAACACACATGAAGCTAATACAGCTGTAGCAGGAAGAAACTTAAAGGATAATTCTGATGAAGACAACATATGACATGAGGCAGTTGGTACCTAAGGAAAATCTCTGTTTGCAGTCGGTTCCTGGAGATCCCTGGCACGTGGGCAGAGGCAGCCTGGGGAAGAAGCATCTCACGCATACCATCTTGGCAGCCTGGGCACATCTCCCACAATATTTTCTGTCTTAAAGATCTCATGCTGTTCTGAGACCAGTACGTGCTGGCCACTCTGCTCTATCTCCCTCAGAGATGAAGGGATTATTATTTTATTTATTTCTTAAGCTGTTTCCTAGGAACCCTGGCACAGAACATAGTCTACTGGGTTACAAACCATTTCAGTCCAGTACACTAAGGCAGCCCCTGCTTCTGAGCTTACAATTTAAGCATAGGAGACAACAGGTCAACTACAGACAGAGAGCAGAGGGACAAACACAGATTAATGTAGATGTTCATCAGTGGAATAAACGCTGGCAAGTTTTTCCATTAGCTCTATATGCGAGGTGAGTTGTAAAGACAGATGTGAAGAAAAAAACCAAGACAGCTGTCTCTGAATGTGTTTATAAAATGATTCTCCCCAGCAAGGGAAAGCATTAAACTTATTTGAAAATATAAAAATCAGGTGATGAGCACTGGTATCCAGTCTGCATTTAGGCAGGAGCTTAATATTCAGGAAGGAGTGAGAGGCAACAGGCAGAGCAGAGAGGCTACAAAGGCCACGAACAAGACGACAAATAAGCACCGCCTAGTATCGTAGAGGAAGTAGCTGGCTTCAGTGAGAATATCTAAGCAACAGGCAAGGAAAGCAATCTTGGCAGCAGCATGCCAAATATGTAAGATGCTGTATTTGTTGGTCAGAAAAAGGATGCGAACTGACTTAGATGCTGTGAATTTCAGCTGTGCGCATGAGGAGGAATGACTCTGTCTTAGCTCAGAGCTCCAATGCAAAAGACACTGGCAAGACATAGGTGTAACTTGTGTCTAGGTGACACACAGCCAACTGGTGTAAGGGATGGAGAGCGTGGTAGTGTTGTTTGTGCCTCTTTCTTTGGGTAGCCTCAACATAATTTAGAGAGTCCAAATTTTAGGTCCTTCTCGGTATCAGACTGGGCCCATAAAATTACTAATAATTTTGAAAATTTGCAGGGGCTCAACTAAATTTTAGAATACAACCTGTCAAAATCAAAACTGGTTCTGCTGCTTAAGAGCTTGAATAAAGGAATAGCAATACAAAAATGGGAAAGCTAACTGAAGCAGAGAAATAAGGGAAAAGAAGGGTTAGTATGATAAATACTTAAATTACCTTCGTACTGTTTTTATGCTCATCCTGACAACCATTTTGGATAGCTCCTTCGTCTATGCTGACATCGCAGTGGGGAGCAAGGGTGGTACTACATGAAGGGCAAGGCTGCAATGAGACAAAAAAAATTTAGCCAGGAACATTTGGTGTCCTCATAGTATTATGCAATTTATAATTCGGTCCACTTGTATACTTGTGGCATGGTTAAAAGATAAACAAAGCTACAGAATGGGAAGCAGGGAGCAAAATTTGACTGGAACAGAATGCACCATTTCAAAAATAAATCACAGATTTTCTGTTTACTGAAGCTAAACCTAATCCAGGAAAGCTTTACTAGTGTAAGATCACAGATATACTGTAATCACTGCATACTAACAAAGGACCTCCCCAAGAAGAACAAAATACTCTTTAGTGAGAGAAGTGCAATTTTCTTGTTTAAAAACTGCCTGCAAAAGGATCTGAATGGCATTATGAGTGAAGACTTAGCACAAAACGCAGCAAAATTTTTAAAAAAAGCATGAAACACCATGATGCATTATGAACAGGGATGTACAAGGAAATGGAAAGCAACAAATCTGGAATTAATAAAGGGAAACACTTTTTCATATAGTGCTGTAAGACAGCAGAGTGGCGCTCTGGCTATCGTACATTGTTGAAGCCAACACCCAGCAAATGTCACAGGAAACAAGGAAAGCAAAACCATCAGGACTTGTAGCAGTTGCAGGTTATGCATTTAGGAAGCAACCTAAAACGTCGCACTTCAGCTTTTAAAACAATGTAACCCCTTAGAGCTAAAATGTGATCTTCTTAAAGGGAATTAATCCTGTATCTGTATCTTGCAAGTTCTTCGTACCTCTTTCCAGTCCTAGCCATGTCCATGCAGGATGCCGCATCAGAAGGACCCTGTGTCTGATCCCTATTGGCAATTGCTCTGCTCTGGAGATGGCCAGCTTGCCAGAAGTCTACTAATGGGTACAGAGACACCAGTCACCAGGAACAGCATGCTAAGTTCAGTGCACTGTACTCAATGGTGGTAGGTGATCCACTAAACACCTTCACATACTTTCCAACAAGTAAGTTGAGCTTTTGTCCCAGGCTCAACACCCCACATACATTTTATCTGTTTATTCTGGACTCAGGAGGTTCAGGCCTCTGTAGTGTATCATTCCTCTGGTCCAAAAACATGACGACAACTGCCTTCAGGTTCACTCCCTATTTCAGAGACCAGTGTCTATGTCTTTTCAGAACTGACTTCTCCATCTCTGGTGTCACACCTGAAACTGAATAATGCAGCATCTTCAATTTTCAGGTTGTGTGACTGCTGATCCACCTAATCACTCAACAAAGCCTCTCAAAGGCTTTCATGAAGACTCTGAGCCTTCTTAGCAGCCAGCAGACCATCATATCTGCTGCTCCTCAGGAGCATGGTCCGGCTTGGGGCACTGAGTACTGTGAGTTTCCTAATCTGGCATCAGATAAGCAAGCTACTTCCAGTTCTGAACCTGTACAGTCTGAACAAATATCAGTGTACTTGAAGAAACTATTAAGTTGGTTCTTAAATGGTTTTGTTTAAAAATAATCTAGGACTAAATATCATATGCTTTGGCCACTCTGTGGAAGGTAATATTACATGGCTTTAAAAATTAATATGATGATGGGCTAATGAGCTTCCTATGCTCCTCGAGCGTTAGCTAGTTAGCAAAACCAGATACCTCTAACATCAAAAATAAAGAAAATACTCCCCGTTTGATCTTGCTAATAAATCAGCAAGACCACCTCAAATGCTTAGCTCCTGGGGTTAAACCAGAAGACAAAAATCTCAGAAAAGAAGCCTGACCTTTTGAGAAGAGGCGGAAGTCCATCTGACTTACCCCATGTGTTCAAGTCAGTATCATTAACTTCATTCTCTATTGTAGACACTCGAACAAGCTCAGTGCATATGTGACCTCATCACGATAAATAATACATTAATGTACTTTCAGCAAACACCAAGACAAGCAAAAGTACCTTCTGTTTTCATACCAAGAGATGATTAAAATGTTTTTACAACAGCTTATGATTCTCCGTCAAGTAAGGGATTTTATAAAATATGATAGGGAAAATAAACCGATACCAAAACTGGTTAAGCAAGTTACAGTGTTTTCATTCAAAAAAATCAGCTGTTATTATAGGTTTACTTGTAGTTTTTAGCCTCTGTCTTCAACATTTTAATTATGTACACGCATTTTATTGATATCCATACTGCAACAAGGTTTGCAATTAAATGAACTACAGATACACTGCAGGAGAGGAGGAAAAATAATTCCCTTCATGGATCAATTACTGTTGCATTCTCCTTCCTGACTTTCCTTAACAGATCTTGTCCACTAGTTCAAGCCCAAAATGTGAGAGTCATCCTTTGCACCCAATATGGACACTTATTCCCTTAAAAAAAAACAACAACAAAAAAAGTTCAACTTGCCTATAATTTTGCCCCTCCTACTTAGCCTCTTTTGCAGAGCTGGAGTCATCTCCTCCTACACTGACACTGTTTACAGTTTTGTATTTAAAACAGTTGGCATGTAAGTCATGATTCTTTTGCAAATTATTATCTCCAGACCCTACCAGCAAGCTGCAGGCTTTAAAAAGACAAAAACAAACCACTGTAAAAAAGAAACTCACTCCTTTTCAAAAATTGTGCATGATCTGTGATTAAATTGCACAGTTTTTCTTTATGGGGATTTTTTAATATACATATATATTTATTTAGCACTGTAAGACCTACTCTAGCATGTCTGGCAAATTAAACATTCCTTGAAAGCTTGACCCAGCCTTCTCGGTGCATAATCACTCCAATAAGACTACCCAGCAGACAGAAGGCTGATGCACATCTACACTCAAAAGCGTGCTGTGGAGTTTGGAATACCTGTACCTAGCCATGTTGTGAGAAGCAAGTAAGCTTTGCACTCCCATGCTGCAACTACAGTCGCAGAACACGTTTTTAAGTAAGTGCTCAGCATTCGCATGATTGCTTCATCACTATGCTATACGCATTCTGACACGGTTTGTGGCATGCATTATACGGATGCCTATCAGACCGCAGTGAAAGCTGACTTTGGGGTCATTCAAAATTCACTCCAGCATCAGTGTATTTTGGGCAAGACAGGAACACTATTTTCAAAGAGTTGTGAGGCTGCTTAGGAAATCACTGGCCAGACCTGCAGTGCTCATGCAATGAATAAAACCAGGTACTTATAAGCATACACTCAATGCAGTACCTTTAGGACAACAGTAGATAGTGTATCCAAGAAGGCTGAAGCTGAGCTGGCCCTTGTCCTAGATGCTCTTCTGAAGCAGCTTCTTTTAGCTTCTCCTTCACTTATTCTGACAGCCACATTTGTACTTTTGCACTGTGCAGACCATCATTCAGCATTTAAACAGCAATTAACACCCAGACAAGATGGTCCCAGAGCAGAAAATCGGGGACTGGGCAGTAAACAAAACATCATGGGCCAGCAGCATGCCTCCACATTGCATACTAGCTGTTTAGGAATAGTGGTGCATCTGTATCTACGCTTCTGCAGAGTAAGTCACCCTATGTTTTTGAAAACACATACGATAGCTGAGCCTTAACAACAGATTTCATTTTGGACTTGAGTCATTTTAACAGCATGTACCACAAGTTAATACATAACAAATTTTATCAAATCCTAGCTGCAGTCAGGTTGGTCAGTCCTGTAGTTCGCTGTAGTTTCATAGTCCTCCAGTTACAGCTTACTTTGCTGTCTGACATTAACAAAGCATCCTCGCTTTCTCTCAGAACAGCAGCCTTAGTTTTACTGCTTTAATCCCTCCTTTCTTGCTCTGCTCCACAGACAGGCAGCTCAGTAATACTGCTCCACTTAGTACGTTCTTCTTCCTTCACTACTTGAAATAAAGGAGTTTCTACCCCTTACTGCCACATCTGTACCTCTGCATGGCCACGCACTGGGCAGCACAGACGGGCTTATTTGTACAGACACGCGCTGACTGCTCAAAGATGTATTCTCCTACCTTATTTGCTAGTACCTTCATTGAAAGACAAGAGAGAGCTGGAAAGCTGGTGCCTGATGGATGCCAAATATATTCTATCTTACACGGGAGAAGGAATAGAAAAGTATCACCAGCAACTTGGATGCAGTCAAACCACACACAGTGCATATTTTGGGGAGGAATAAAGATGGCTACAGCTACCTTCTGTAGTTAAGCAGTCCTGGCTTACTCTGTAAGGAGCTCACTTAACTTTGGACCATCTCTTTGGGCCAGCCTTCCAGCTGATCTCACTTGTCATCCAGTGTTTTTACTCCAAAAACTTAAAACCTGGCACAAAGGCAGGGTATATGCACCCGACTCATACTTTCCTAATCCAGATTACATACAAGCAGCAAAAATGGAGCAGCATGGAAGTCACCTCCCTATCAACTCTGTCAGTTAAATCTCAAACCTGTGTTGAAGAGATCCTGTCAGGACTAAACACACTGAAGTCTAAGGACAGTGACCTGCAGATGACCACCTGTGGTTCTGACATTCGTGCCCAGCTCAGGCAACCCACGACAAGGAACTCTTAGCACAAATAAAAATAGAGAATAGACATCTGTTGTTTGGGAAATCTGTTCTGAGCTGGAAGGTAGAGACTAACAGCAAAGCTTCGAAGAAATACACATTGTTCCACAGATCTTACGAGAGGTGCGAACATAACAAAATGTCATCATTTCTCTAAGCTGAATCCGTACAAGTCATTATCTTAGTTCTAGATATAGGTTTCTAGAGCAAGCAGATAAAACACAATCTCATAGCCCACCGGAGCATTTCCTCCCACCACACAAACAATCCTGTTATCTTTTTGTGGGGGTGTCTGTTATACACTCATATGAAAAGGTTCACAGGTACATGACCTGCAAAATAGAGGAACGGCAGAAGCAGGGTGCAGCAAAAGCAGAAAATCATAGAAGTTACAGTAGCTGCTTAAAGGATGTTCTTTATTACCCCATAAAATCAAGACCACTGTAAAAGCAGCATTGACACCTCAGTCTTGAAATTTAAAAAAAAAAAAAAAAAAAAAAAATTGAAACCACCTTTAAAAAGTGTTCGTTTTACTTTGGGGATTCCTTGTCAATTGGCAAGGCATTTTACTTCGTAAATCTTTTCATCCCTCAAACTACGTTTCGTCACTATATGTATATACATACATGTATACATACATATATATATACACACACACAAATATGTAACGCAGTGCATAAACAAACCTGTAAGGGTTCCCCATCCACACATCTCTCCGTGGCTTGCACAGTTTGAGATCTACGCTGCTTGGGTTTGATACAAGAACTCACCTTAGGTTTTTCTGCATGTTTGAGAGTCTTTGTCAAGTCACTGGCGTTCTCGGCTGACGACGCTCCCTGTATCCTGGCTCCATCTCTGGCCTCCAGGCCAGGAAGCAATGCTTGTGAACAGCTGCAGTGGGGCTCCTTCACCTTCTGACCAGAGATCAGATAGGTCTTCAAACCTACAGAAAAAAGAAATGAACAGTCAGCACTGCAGAAAGACAAAAATAACACTCCTTTGGACTTCTTAGATATGAAATACAGTAACTATCAAAGCACTATCAAGGCTCGGGAATACAGCACACAAAAAAAGATAGTGGCTGGGAACAACCACCAGGAATATAAAGATGCTCTGTGTAAAGTGGTGGCAATTAGGATTGCCCAACATCTGCTGTCCCAGACACAAGAGACTGCTCTAACACACAGCAACAGCCAAGACTGACACACAGTTTCTTTATGCCATTTTCACTCATGTACTTCTGAAAAATAGAGCTAAGACCTTATGTAATGCTTCCAAGTTGTAATTTGAGGTCTCACATTAACTCTTTACTTCTGGAAAGGATTTGCAGCCTGTTCTTCAGTGATATCTGTGTTAATATTCTACTTCTGAAAAATCAGCATGTATTCCTCCACTTGCACTCTCCATTTGTCAGAGAGATGTCATGAAGATTGCTTAATGCTGGTAGCACATCCAGAAAGGAAATGGCGTTTAAGTGCTAGAAATTCTGATGGGTTTTCATAGTTAGTGCAGACTTCACATTTTTAAAGAACAAAATCAATCTCTCTCTCTTGCATGTACACCCACACACACTCTGCAACTGTTGTATGAATTGAAGCATAATCAGAAAGCAGATTCAATATTAAAGCCCAGGCTGGTAAATACCATGCTGTATCAAGCTGAGCTGTATCAAAAAAGTGTTCAAAAAATAAAAGATCTGAATTTTGTTTAGAATATCGCTTATTTTACTTCCTTGAAACTTTGCGTTATGATGTTCTGGGTTATTTCTAGGCACAAAGACTAAGAAGGAGCTACTAATCACACTGCTTTCTGAATTCAAATGAGTTAATTTTATTGCCACTGTATGGGAAATCTCCCACTCAGCAAGGAAGGGCACTGATGCGCTCCAAAAAGCGTGGAGGTCATCAGCTCACAGAACTGGAAAGTGCTTGTTATTTTGTGGTACCAGAGCCTGTTGTCCCGTGTGACTCTGCAGCCAGCCTCTCACTCACGGGACAGCTGCTGGTTTTGTATTTGGGTCAGCTGTGCATCACCCCCCTCCCTTTTTCTGATACTTGTCACCCATTTGCAGCCAGACACATGACTGTCACAGCCATCGACTGCACTCGATTGCCTCCATCCGTAAGCTGAAAGCTGGAAATAACTATGTCAAGTTGCGGCCCTTGGAAGAGGGCAGGTTTCTGTTCCTTTTAAGGTCATTCTCTCATAACCTTCTTTACAGACAGAAAATCATATTCTATAAACCTTTTTTTGTCTGTAATATGCAACACAGACAGTACTTTGACTATAACCTTTCCAATAAAAATAAGTTGGACATACTAACAGCAATTTTGCAGTTTCTCTGTAACCGAAGCTCCCAAACACTTCTACAACCAATGCAGAAACCTGCATCTGTATCGACCATTTCAACCTCAGGCTCAGAAGCTGCTGGGAAAGCTACGGGGTTCTCACAGCCTCTCCAAGCTCCAGAGCACTCGCTCTCCTAGTTGAGATGTTGCACTATAAGCCAATCTTTATTTTTATATCACTTATAGTAGCGCTTGGATTTTATTTGGCAGTGCCGCTTAATAAAATCCTGAGCTGCTGCTGGCTTCCAGATGTAGGGCTGTCTCTTTAAAACTTATATTGATGGGGGTTGTCATTTAAGGAATTCACCACAATCAGCTTACAATTATGTTTACTGTGGTAAAAGCTAGATTACTTTAAGCTTACTACGCCTATTTTTAAAAGCTACCTTAAAGCAACAGGATTATTTTCCCACTCCTATTATTCCTCTATTTTTTTTTTTCTAAATGAACATATTTTCTTTGGGTTTTGTATTTTTGAAAAGGCACTTTTTATGTCTTACTGTGCTGCACAGCATAATTATTTTGTCAATCTGTTGCATACAGTAAAATTATCTCCAGCTTGAACTCCACACCAAGAAAAAAGCGAAAAGGCTACGGGACGCCAGTAGCTGAAAACGTGTTTGGGAAAGCAGAATCCATCCTCAACCCAACCTGAAACCACAGCACGCTGCGGCTCCTCGGCCCCGCTCCACCCCCAGTCCTTCCCATCTGTGGCAAACCCACCAGCCCGCAGCCGCTATCGCCATGTTTTGCAACGACAGCTGCTCGCACCCGCTTTGTCCCACAGGCTTTAGCTGCAGGGTTTAAAGTTGGCTAAAATGGCTGGTCATTGGCACCGAGAACAGACTATAAAAATCTCTTTATTACCTCCTCATGCTCCCCAGCCCCGCCACGTCCGCTGAACAAGGAGCGTTACTCAAAATGGGTAATTTGAAATCGGACAAAGAAAAGCCAATATCCTGCAGAATCACAGCATACTTTTAGTAAGAAGTCAGCAGGGCTACTCCTAGTGCTGAATGCAAGGTCAGGGTCTCAGGAGAGCAAATAAGGAAAAAAGGTTATGGTTTGGAAAGTTTTGGAAAATTAGGAGGTGTAAAAATCTTTCAGCTTTACCGAACTTCACTAACATTGCCTACCTAATACTTTGTTTGTTATTAAATCCTTCTTATGACAGGAAAATTTGATTTGCTTCAGTATTCCTTGCAACTCTGTGACACTTCACAAAGCAACTCCCACATACAGTCTGAAATATTTCGTTACAAAAGAAGGGGTCATTAATTCAGGAGAACTGTATTGGTGTAACTAAAATGTATTATACAAGAACAGTATTCTTCCTCCTTCTACATCTCCAGTGAATTAGTACAATCAACACTCTGTCATTTTCCATACAAACGGTGTATGGAGTGAAAAACATTCACAGCACCATGCAGCTCATTTAAATCAATTAGGTAATGCAACAAAATTAAATGAATAAGCCAACAATGGTGGAGCTGCTATTTTATGTGAAAACCAGCAAACACAGTGCAATTTTTGGTGTGTTGCTGTGCAATGATTTAACTCAAGACATGGCAATGAAGAAAGTGCTATGAGATGCTTATACTGCCATTTATAAAGGCAAAGCTCATCCATTCTTCCCCTCCTGCCATTCTCAATCTTATACTCGTTCCCTTCCCCCAAATTTATTCAAAATAAATGCTGAAAAATAAGACAACCTCAAACTGCCTGATAGCAAATCTGTACTCGGTCAGGCTTTATCCTGCAGCACATTTCTGCTTTTTCCAGAGATGGCTCTTGGAAGCAAAGACGGGGAACTGGCTACAACAACCTACCTCCAACACACTAATCTAATGTACATAGTATTTTCTGCCCTGGGGAAAAAATGAGCTACATCATTTATCTTTGAGAAACAGAAGCCATTTCCTTCACTTGTCTTCAAGTTCTGAAAATCTGTAAGCGTTATAAAGAGTAACAGCTCCTGCATGCTGAGCCAAAACACTAATTTCTTTTCTACTTTTGAATAGTGACAGGGCAATGTCTGTATAAGTGTATTTTTGACAAAACAGTTAACAGGTGAGATGTCCACAGAACTACAGTGGGTTCATTAGTCCCACTAACACCGAATTTTAGAAGCATTAAGAAATTTCTATACTTGGCTCCTTCAGTTAGCTTTTCTTTTCATCAGTAACATTTCTCTGAACTTACAAAAACAGAAAACCATCCCAAACACTAAAAAATGCTCTTAACAACAATAAAAAACCCCATATGCATGCGCTCACGCACAAATTATTTTCTGTATGCACAAAAATAAACAAAAGTATAAATAAGGCTGTGTATAAACATCCCAGTCTTCAACCTGGTTTCAGTAGCGTGAGAAAACCCAGTCGTTGCAGAGCGACTGGGAAGTTCAGTAACACGGGCGCAGGCAGGGGCAGGCAGAGACCGGGGCTCCCTGCCCAAGCGCTGCCTCCCTGCCAGCCCCCTGCCTGCCGCTGGGTTATACCGAGGTGGGTCAGGCTGGAGCAACCCTACCATCCTCGACTGTAGCTGTGTTTGCAGAAAAAAACCTGTCTCAGGTAACTGGTGGGAAGTCACTTGCTGGGAAGGAAAGGGGAAAGGGAGAGCAAAGATGTTCTGGTACTTCAAGTCCTTAATTAAGTCATTTATTTCCTTTCTTTCATCTCATTTATCCTCATGACTTCAGGAAAGAAGCTGCTGTTATGCCAATCTAATCTAATTTTTACATAAGTAGAGGGCATCCCTCCATGCATCTTTTAAAGATGGGATGTCTTCTCCTACAGAAGATCTCAGGAGATGGACGATTAACACAAATACTGATAAGCAATTAGTAATTGGTAAGATAAGATTCAAGTTCCAATTTTTGATGCTCCACCTGTATGGAATTGAAACTTTTTAGCCCTCTATTGATAGCAGACAGGAAAATTAGTTTTATCTCTGGCAAATTGAAAGTGTCATACTTCTCACATCTCTCTAACAAACTTCAAATGCTTTTGAAACCCTCTTCAGCACTGCTTCTAAGAGACACCCAAAAAAGATGGCAATATTTCAGTCATGGTCTTACTGATTCATTTAATAAAAATACAATCCCACTCTTATTATATATCCTTGTTCCTCCCTCCATGAATTGCTTCACCTTCTTAGTTGCCATACAGGGAAACGGCATTTAACAGGTGACCCTACTTTTCAGAATAACTACTTCCCAGTATACAGCCCTCTGTTCTTTAAGACTAGTAATATTCCCTGTATTGATGTAATAAAATCCAAGTTGTGTTGATTATGCCCCCTTTTACCAAACAGCTTTATATTAATGCCTCTCCTTCACTGTTTCTCTTTGCATCATTTCCCTTAGAGTCCGCATACTTTAATCATTTAATCATATCTCTTTCCAAATAATTAAGTGTAAATCTATAAAACTACTTGAGCTCTATTTTCACAACCCTCTACTTTTGCAGTATCTTACCTCACAAAATTAGAATTTGCATGAAAACTGTTTCATCGTAAGAACCACAGTGACTATCACTCCCACATAAGACCAAGAATTACTTTCCAGCTAGAAAGTAATTGTAATCACCTGCTA